GAGAGCACAACTTTGGTGCAATGCCATTGCTGGCCCGTACCTGCAGCATACACGTAGAAGTCCATGAATGTGACAAATCATCGGCAACCGATCGAGTGTATTCCCTGAAGAACCTGCATGCAGGATCTTTAGACGTTAGCAACGCATGGTCACTGCCTGCAGTGCTCAACATAGAATTTTTGCAGCACGTATCAGAAAAAGGTTTTGGCCCTTCTTTCAATAAAACTGCTAATGCGATCTCCCATCGTTTAAATAACCGATCTACCAATTATTGCACATTTTGAAGCCCACCAATACAAATTTTACATTAAATCTTACACCATGCCGTGTAAAGGAGAACCTTGCAGCTTCGGCAGATGAGCGATCGTAAAGCGGTACCGGTGTTACGTGGACTTGGCCTGATGTGTAAAACACGCTCTCAAACAGCCACGGTACAGGACAAATCAGCGAATAAGCAACGCGTATATTCGCCATTATCTGTGTCGATTGTCTGGCTACAATCAAATGAAAACTTTTATTTACTAACTTTAAATTGCAGGCCTACATCAAAATATTCTCATCATGGCACTCACTTACGCGCTTGTTCGGGAGAACAATACAGTTCCTTAGGCTTATGCATTCCTTGATCTCTACCTCATCGGCAAGGACACACATCTTCTCAAGCCGGCACCATTTGCTAATTTTACAGCTAAATCCGATGATAGAGTTGAGAACAACGCAGTAATCGGAAACAACCGTGTTGTCCATGAGCGTTGCGTTCTTTATGTAAGCTCCCATGCCGATTTTTACATTTTTTCCAATAACCACGTTTTCGCCGATAAAAGCCTCTTTTCTCACCACGGCGGTCTCATCTATCACACTCTCCAGTCCTTTGCTCGACAGAAAGAGGTGCTGCGCCACCAAATAATCTCGGTGCTGTCCGATGTCCTTCCAAAATCCCTTCAACTCAAATGCTGCCAGCTCATTCCTCACAGCCATCTGCGCAAACACCTCATTCTCGAGCGAAACCTCTTTGAGCGGTATATCATTGAGGACCTCACGGTTCATGACGTATATTCCTGCATTGATCGTGTTCCCTACATAATTCTTAGGCTTTTCGACGAACCTTGTAATTCCGTTTCCCTCTTTCAGTATCACACCGTATCGTGAAGGGTCATCCACGACCGTGGTGAGAATGGTTGCCTTCCTCTTGCAGGCTAGGTGTGCCGCAAAGAGCTCATCGAACGGGTACTCACAGATTACGTCCGAGTTGAGAACAAATACCGGTGTTGGCTCGTCAAGGTACTGTCGGGCAAGCGCTAGAGGGCCGCCCGTGCCCAGAACTTCTTTTTCGACCGAAAAGATGATCTCGATGCCAAGATCGTTGGCAAGCTTTGTCATCTGGCACACAATGTCCTCTGTTCGGTAGTTCGCAGCAAGAATTATCTTTCTGGTGCCGAACTCGTGCAGCTTCTTGATTTGGTGACTTATTATGGGGATGTTAACGAATGGTATAAGCGGTTTGGGACGGGTCAGGGTGAGCGGACGGAGACGAGTACCGTACCCGCCGACAAGTATTATAGCACTGGAAGATTTGGACGACATATAAACAAACTCGTTCGCGCTTTTATAGTGCCTTAATCACGTGTGAAACGTAAATTAAAAGATAAATGAGGTGAAGGTAAACAAACCCGGCTTGACGGCATGATTCCGCCAGACATGCCTGGCAAGACGCGTGCTGTGAACCGGAATGATCTTCAAGCGAGTAACTTTTAAAAAATGCAAACACAAAATGTGATCATCATCACGGCCAAGTAACATTGAACAAAATATTTTAGTTTAAAAACTGGGATCTACATCCCAGCACCTCTCAAGTTAACATGTCATCCTTGCGCAGGGGCCATGCTAATCTTCTCTGTGTTGTTCCGCAAGATAGCGTGGTGCAAACCACGAGGGGCATCCCAAAAAAATTTTTATATAGCAATTGTGATTCGTGTTCGCTGCATAAAGGCTAGCGCTGCCAGACATCGCAAAGATGTGCCTGTTTAATTGCTGATCATGGTTTTGTTGTGCGATTTAGGGTACTCCGGTTGATCAGTACGGACAGTTCCTACAACAGTACGCCACATATGACAGGTCAGCAAGCAGACCAAGTTATGGAAGTGAAAAGTTTCTTTTTTAACAACCAAGAGGTCTATGGTGGTACAAAGCGGAACAATTACGCCATCCATATCAGGTATTATGTTGAAGCAGCTTTACGGAGTGTGTGCCCATGAAGTAAGTAAACCATTTATAACGCTACAATTCAAAAAACATTATTCGGTGTCTCTTCCCGTTTCATTTATCATTATTTAATGAAATGTGCACTCTAAGACCGCTCTGCATCAAAGCATTGTATTGCAATAGTAGGAAGAATATCGCTCATGTGCACTCTAAGACCGCTCTGCATCAAAGCATTGTATTGCAATAGTAGGAAGAATATCGCTCATGTGCACATCGATCTTCGTCAGTTCAGCATAATGCATGGTATATGCTCAAAGCGTACATGAGAAAATAAATATTGCCTTGAACTTCCGATTTACACATTCTCTCCTCTCATACACGTTCCATATCGTGCAACACCGCATCATACTCACGAAATACCATAAAAAAGCACAAATACCTTCTAATCCTTCTCGGTGTTATTGCAAATTTCCAAAAGTACAGCTCACCATTATTTTTAATCTTATTTAGCAAATCACCAGCACATCGTTCCAAACGTTGTTCACAGCTTTTTCGGTGTTGCTTTTACTGCTGTTCAAATTAATTACCGTAAAGTAAATTTGCTCGATTTTAACGGTAATATCCATGGGGCTTTGCCACTGACCAAACCGTGTTTTCTATGGACTGAGCGGCTTCCTTTCAGTTTGTGTAGGATGTATCTTAACCTTTCATCTCGTACGTGCTCCAGGACGTGTTCTCTAATTTACCATGTTTGTGGTTTGTAAGACTAAATCGATGTTATTTTTCCAAATTCGTTAATTCATCCGTACTTGGGCAAAGTCGTACAAAACCGTGCACAGCACAATATTCCCATTATAATGGACATGCCTCTATCACACTATCAGGCCGATTGCACTTCTAAATTGGACAAATTGCACAAGTATAAGTAGAACACTCTGATCGGCCATACCTGCTATGAGCAAGAAGAAAGCAACAAAGAAAGCTAACAAGATGGTTGTCTACAACGGGGAAGAACCACCAAGTCGAAACAAGCGGAACACCAATGATAAAGAGGGAATACAAATATTGGTGCAACAAGATGCCTCAGGCACGAAGACAATCAATCTAACCATGGATACGGATGACGATAGCAGTGACAATGAAAAAAGTGACAGGGGATCAATGGAATGTGCCTCAAGCTGCAAGGTGAACTGCCCTAACTTCTTTGCAGCCGCAGATACTTTCAAAGACAAGATGGCTACGTGTTGGTTGGTCTTCTCAGGTGCTGTAGTCACTGTTCTCGTCTTCTTTGGCTTTGCCTCATGTATCAAAATATATCGAAGCGTCACTCTGAACCCACCAAGCTCAGCCGATGCCATGGGATACATCGATGGAAGCGTGCCGATTTTCGGCCCAACAGGTAATTATCGCCCGTCACACAGCGGTTTATTGGAGCTCGAGCATTCTCCCATCACCGATTCCGACATGTGTGACAAAGACCATTCCCCGATTCCGATTGTTGAGCTACCTGTCACTCCTCCCCCCAGGGACAATCATGAAGTGATCTTTCATCCAGAGGCAGAATCAACCGACTTGACGCTGAAAGAAGAAACAACCGGGTCTGATTCAGATCTGCCGTCCGTTACAAACACGAGCGAAACAGCGATCGATATGCCCAGTCCTACCCGATGTAGCACAATCCTCCATGTTCCACGTAGAGATACAGATGCATCAACGAATCAAAATACGGTTAGCAACGGTCCCATCATCAAGCCAATAGTCCGAAGAAGTACTCAATAAAGCGGTCGGTACAAAAAGCCAATAATTGCATTTTATCCACTGAACCAAACACGTGGTGTTATTTGACACTAACACCACCTCCTGTTTTGTGTCTTTTACAGCCGTATTGCTGCGTGAAACTCACGTTCACCTGCCTGTGCCATGCTCAGCCACCTCTTCCCATTTTTGAGTAGAGCAACTGAAGTAGCAAACAAATTTGGTGTTTATTTGATCCTCTCCTCTCGGATAGCACTACACGCACCGTGAAGGTATTTAAATTTATTATTCGTGGTACACCCGTCCAGCAAATACATCCTTCTTAGAATGGCTGCTACCATAGTTCATACTTTTTTACTGAAAGTACGTTTGTACACCTCCTCATACCACGATACCTCAACAACATACTTTTATCTGAGGGCACTGGAATGTTCATCATTTCTACGGTGTCATAGCAATCATTTTTTACCACACTTAACGTGCACATTGCATGAATATTCAATCCAAATGCTCATACCGAGACATGCACCTCCATTTTACAGCAGCGATTGTTAACACATGCAAGAAGAACGTGTTTGTCTGGGTGTTGCCGGTGTTTGAGGAGAGAAGCACAAACTTGCAAAAAGATCAAAAATTAATGTTTGAGCGAAATGAGTAAACATGCCTTTACTGACAAAATAGTATTTTGAATCAGGTACATTCTAACAAAAGGATAAAGCGCCGTTGAGATCAACCTTCTTTCTACAGCAGGAGTACTTTCTTATGATAGTTTGCACGTGGTAGCTCTGTGACAATGAGTGACGAACTGAATGTCACGTATCCTAATCAACTGACGGGTATCCGCGATCAGTTTTGGCCAAATGTTAAAGAAATCGCTAGTTAGAACGTAGTTGTGTGTAAAGGTATGTGCCAAGGAGCACCATCAACGAGGCATACAGCGGTAAATTGGCAAGAATCCTGCCAAAAATACTTGAGGTCTGCGTCTTCGTCATCTTCTGAATGGGACCAAACGACCGATGCCGCTGTCTGTCTCGTTGAGTCTTCTCTTCTTCCACCCACAGCTTCCTGTCATAGCCACGTTTCAAGCGCACATTTGCAACGCACACCAAACTGGTTTTCTCCTCTATTTTGTACAAATAGTTGTCTCTCTTGTCATAGGAAATCATATGTTCGTGAATATTTCCAGCCATTCGCACGATCTGAACCGTGCTCTTAAATTTCTTCAGCATCGCACTTGTGCTGTTCGTATTGGTAGATGATCTTCGCACGCGGCGTGTATTGTCCATGGCACGATCGTTATGGGCGAACTGTAGGTGCACGATATGGCTTAGGAATAGTACGCAGATCAAAACTTGTTTCATACGTGGGAGCAAAATACGAATTAGAGGTTAATTATATTTGTGTGGAACAGACAAATGAAAATTAAGGAGAGTACATCGCACGTGATGGGTGGAAAACCGTCATAGTTCTACCCAACAGCCTCGTGCTAGCGATCAACATCGAATTCATTGCCTTGTTCTGTTTCACTAAAAGCACGTCTATTCATTTCGCTTTGCAAGTGGATAAATCAATTCGGGGATCGGTGGACATCTAGCAGGCGTTAAAAAAGTGTTTGGTATGCATTGAAACATAGCAAATAAAAAACAAGTCGTGTTCAGAACATCTGCCTTAACGAACACACATTTAATACTCCTTTCAAAATTTTTTGTGGTAAGACTTGATCTACCAATAGAACCACCACATATCTACGATTTTGATTTATTTAATGATAATTGGTATTTTAACTCGGGATATGAAACTAAATACAGCGCGATGCCTTTTAATGCACAACTAGCATGAAAACATATGCCGTACAGCGGCACGTGTTTGACTAAAATAGTGCGGCATTCCGACAGAATGAATCTCCCGATTGACGTGATAAAAGGCCATCATGATGTATTTAGTACCAATATCTTGATATGGATAGATGGATAACCGTTCCGCGCTAAAATATGGTTTGCCTAGTTTTGCTAATTACATCGGAAGAGATATGAGCAGCAAATCAGCACCAAGGTGATGTTTTCCTTTCACTTGCGCTCCTATGCTTAGGCATGTGAGGTTTTATCCAATAACCGCCTCACTGAATCTTTATTTCACACAAGCACGTTTTTTTACCAGAATGCCTTACAGAACCGCTCAGGCGCCTTCTTCCAGGGGAACAATGGCTTAAGTCCATGGAAATGTGTGAAGAAGGTAAAACCACAAATTCAATCCATCCAACCACAAGCCTAGTTTTTGTAGACAATGATATGGTTCTGGAAATGTACGGCCTGTAATTCCACCGCACAACGATTTGAAGGAATAGTGGTCATTCTCATTTTTGCTAAAACATCAACTACGTTGCTACCACAGTTTGTCACCAAAAGTGAGCATTGCGCCCGTCTTTTCGAACGATTTATTTTGGAATGGTGATGAACACAAACCATTTTGCTGCGCAAGGAAACGTAATTAATACGTACATAGCACAAGCATTGTCACTTCGGTGCGATACTTCACTTAACACTGGCATAGAGGTGTTTTAGCAACAATCTTACCACAATGTGCTCATTCACCGTGCTTTTCCTAGAGAAGTGGAGAACCGTAAACTATAAAAAAAATTGAATGTGCCCGTGTTCCTCGGTTATCTGCCAGAAAAGTCTCTCTAACCCTTTAATTAACATTCTATGCTTCGCACACAGAAATAACGTTATCACCGCGCAAGACCAGGCATTTTATCTTGCGTTCAACCGTCGTACCCTCTCGCTTCTTAACACCCTTGTTTTTACTCTTTGTCTTTCTAATTTCTGTTACATCTGTCAGTATCATATTGAAGTGGTGATCAATTACGCGTACGATGCCACACAACTTTCTATTCGATCGCAGATTGACAATGCATGGACAGTTTTTGATGTTCTTTAGGAAATCAAGTGCTAGTTTATCTTTTTTTTCGTCTTCTGTCATTGTCTGTGGATCCGATGCCCAGGGCCGCGAAAATAATAAATAGCAGTACCGATGAAAGATCAGAAGGCACACGAAAACGGATTGGTCAAGCCCGAGAATTATGGATTGGCGACCACTTATATTTCGAACCGTGACCGGGATATAGGGCAATGATACGTTACACACCGCAGTTCTGATTTGACCAAATTATAAAAAATAGTATGCGAGCACCTGAGTAAACGGCAACCATGTTGCAGGGTGTGAAACCATCAGTGTTATCTGGTGCCATGTAATGCAGTCCTGTAGTATGGAAGCATCCCTGATTTGCAGATAGACCATGAAGTATTCTCTTTAAACCAAGCAACTCCGTTCAATGAGTTACTGCTCCCGTAAAAACCATCTAAATGTCAACGTTGAATAGCGCGTCTTTAGTTTGAACCGTGAATTAATACAAACACCGTTCAAGCTCTACGTGCCGAGTGTAAAACTCCCCTGTCCACAGAACAGACACTCTTTCGGCAAATATTGCAGATTTCCGCCTTTATACGGAGAAACTGTCAGTCACGGTCAAAGTTGTCAGCAGAACCGCAACAATAGTTACTTTTGATCCCATGAGATTACACCGAATCATCTCAACGGCTTATGAACTGCTCGTTCGTGTACCTCCAAGGTTTTCCGACTTTTCATTTCTTTCTTGCAGTATTTACACTTGAAGACGTATTTCTGCGCTTTTATCCTGATTTCTAATATTTTTTTCTTGGAGAGGTGTTCACTCCCATCATGTTCCTCCATATGACGGTCATACCACAGTTTTTTTATAAAAATTCTGCCACACGAGCATATCCACTGTCTTCCGCATACTAACGAATGTTTCTTCAACTTATCGCGGTAGAAAAAACTTTTTTGGCATTTATCGCAGCTGAACATCGGTTTTGTGTGTGTTAGCTTGTGATAGTTCAGCGATTTTTCCGATGGATAGCTTCGCTTGCACGTGGCACACACAAATGGGTAGTTCTGAGTGTGCAGGTTCTGATGCGAGATGAGTTTCTTTGCACGATTAAAGGCTTTGTCACACATGATGCATTTGAAATGCTTGTTTCTGCTGGCCATCTCTCTGTTCGCTGCAGGGGTACAGCGCTGAATTTACATCTATGGCGCGATACAAGCGAAATGATGAACAGGGCTTGAGCACCGTTATGTTTTTGGCAGATGTTGTGTAAAAGGGCTTGAGCACCGTTATGTTTTTGGCAGATGTTGTGTAAAAGGGCTTGAGCGCCGTTATGTTTTTGGCAGATGTTGTGTAAAAGGGCTTGAGCACCGTTACGTTTTTGTTACATCTGCGATTTAATGCCATTATTACGAACGTAGTTCACACAACAGCTCATTTCTGCTGCTTCAGCTGCAAAGTTTCTTCTGATCGACCAAATTCTCACCACACTATGCACATGCTGTGCGCGTCCAAGATGTTTGTTCGCCCGTTGTACTACGCACATCGATGCTCTGCGGCTGTCAACAGATTTGTGGCCGCTTCGTTTTAATATTAATTTACATGAACGAAATGATTCGGCCAACCGGGTGCTCTCCGCGTAATAAATGCTTTGCTTGATCAATCTCAGTTTAGGCACGGCTGCCAAACGATGGTACTCTACGTGAGCTTTGTTCTGCCTGGTAAAAAGTTAAAAAGCGTTTTCAGCCTTTGCTATGTGCCAGCAATGCTCTTCGTTGCCAATCTTGCCGCGAGCTGTGGTTCCTTACCACGCTGATACGTTACACGCCATGGAATACAGTGCATCATCATGCACACATCCATGTTTTAATCCACACTCCTGTGCTGGGATGGTCTACGCACAAATTTATCAAAGAACTCTGCCACTTTAACATCCCTAATTTTTCGTCTTTCAACATTTCCTAGCAGTGCGATCATCTTCAGCGGATGCCTTCGCACGAAAATCGGCGCGAACATGTTAAAAACCTCCTCGTTGTCGCAGTATTTCCTAAAAACATCAAAATTTAATGTTTGTTGTACCTTATCGATGATCATTTGCAGTTCTTTATCGCTGATATTGCCGTAGATATGATCGATCCGTTCTATGTCTGTCTCTAAAGTGCATTCCATGCTATTATCCAAGCTTGTGCACAGCTGACTGTACCGTACCATCTTCTGTTTTGTCTTATTTTCTCTTTCTTGGTAACTGCTCAGTTCTGCCTTTAACGCTCGGTTCTCCTGTTTGAGCTTTTCGTATTTTTTCCTCAACATTGAAAGCTCGCCTTTGATCTTGTAGTCCATCAGGGGTGCGCAGGATTCATTCAATGTGAGGCACGAATAGCGCTGCTGGTAATGCCTCATCTTTTAGCGCAAACGATTCATTTGTTCGCCACGCTTGTCGTTCTGATGCGTAATTGACAAAAGTAATTGCTCAGCCCGATTTGGCAGGGATTCAAATTTGTGTGGATGGCCTATCCCCGATCAAGATGCTCTGCGATCTCTGTAGCCGGGATAAGCCGGTCATAAAAAGACCAAAAAATGGCACTATGGTGTGTAAATCCTGCTTTTTCGCCTTATTCGAAGCAGAAGTGCACGAAACGATTGTTCAAAACGAATTCTTCTTCAGGGGAGAAAAAGTGTTAGTTGCCGTGAGCGGTGGCAAGGACAGCACCGTCCTGGCATACGTTATGAGTCTTCTGAATGATCGACACGACTACGGCATCAATCTGCACTTGGTGTGTGTTGATGAGGGAATAAAGGGATACAGGGACCACTCATTGGAAACTGTCAAGCAAAACAAAGAGGATTACAACCTTGAACTTGAAATAGTGTCCTTCAAAGAACTGTTCAATCTCACGATGGACGAGGTTATGCAGAAGAAACGGATGGGTAGTTGCACGTACTGTGGCGTGTTTCGGCGGCAAGCGCTTGAGGAGGGCGCACGGCGTATCGGAGCAACCAAAATTATTACGGGACACAATGCGGACGACATGGCAGAGACGGTGATACTGAACCTGTTGAGAGGCGATTTCAACAGGCTGAAACGATGCACAGCCGCAAAAACGAAGAGAAATGTGAGTAGCGAGGTGTGCATAGAAGACATGGGGAAGGGATGCGGCTGCAGCAACGAACAGAATGTAGGTAGCACATCGCTGGTGCGCGTAAAGCCATTCAAATACATCTACGAGAAAGAAATCGTTTTTTACGCATACTTAAAGAACCTCAAGTATTTTTCCACGGAGTGTATTTACTCCCCGGGCGCACATCGGGAGTATGCACGTATGTTTTTGCGAAGCCTGGATCCAGAATTGATTATGAACGTTATCAAGAGCGGAGAGTTTTTAGAGCGTTCCGATACGAATTCAAGGGTGTGGAACTGTGTTCTGTGCGGAAAAATGACATCTTCAGCTGCGAAAAAGTGCAAGGCGTGCGTACTGCTGAACTCATTGCAAAATATGCTGAATTAGATGAAATTAAAAACGAACGGTGCCATATTAAAACAGCGTTTAATACACAGGATTAGAAACTTGCGCCTATCACATGCTCATAAATCGTTTGACTCGTCTTCTATGCTCAATTCTCCCATCGCTCGGTGGCATTTATTTTCCACCTTATCTCGTCGCTGATGTGTCCCCTTTCTCACCAAGGTCCGGAACTGCACAATTGCGTTTTTCACTTCTAACGCTAGATCAATTCAATAAATCCGAGGCACCATGAACATCACTGGAAACATGGTTTACGACCACTGTATCAGACATTTCTTCTTATGTGTGAGTAAATTATGTATTGCTCACTTGTCCGAGTTGCTTCCACAATCTTGCAGCACAGATAATTCATCTAGCGGACGAATTTAGAGTTTTTCTTAGGTGCCTTAACAGTTGGATCACTCACAATGAGCGAACAGCACCGTTCATGGTCATAACACTATAAGTGAATCCATTGATCATAACTAATCGAGAAACACCATGTGACAGTTTGAGTAAAACTCTTTGCCGGTCATACGTGCCTGTGACAGGAAGACACACTGTCAGAAAAATAAAAGCTGTGCGTAGACGCGTATCTCGTTTTACTGAAAATTTGGTTCTTTGCCTTTTGTCTCTTTGTAGTAAAATAAAAATACGGCTGCAAAGATGGCCATACACACCACATAGAACCAGATAAGCGCGTTGGCAGCGCTCAAATACAAATGTTCGAAGGATATCACCACCAGAAATGCGCAAAACCAGTTGGCGGTCACACATATCGAATTAGCTGCCTGCTGGTAATTAATCGGGAACAGCTCGTTGGTCAGCAGCCATGTTATTGGTCCCAGCCCGATCGAATATCCGAACTGGAACGCCAAAACAGCTGCTAAGACATACTTTTTGGTAGTTAGCAGCGCCAGAGAAACAGCAATTATCGTGGAAGACATTAAGAGCAAGACTTTTCTGCCAAAGACATCCACAAAAGCGGAGCTTACCAAAGTGACAACAAGCGAGAACAGTCCTATGAGGATGGTCCGTATCTGCGGATTGCCGGGGTTCTTTTCGAGTAACGTGTTTGAGTACACGATCACACCATTTATACCGGTCATCTGCTGCCCAATGTGTATGCACAGTGCTAGAAGCACCGATTTGATGTGTCTACTGCTGGTCAAGAGACTATGAACCCCACCAGACTCTCCTCTTACCTTGCTCTCTGCCAGCTGCTGGATAGAAAGCGACATAAAGGCACAAGCAGCGTTGATGATCGAAAATGTCGCAAAACTAATACGGAACGAAAGGACCGTAGATGTACAATATGACAGTATCTGTCCTATCAGGATACCGGTCAGTATAGAAACTTGGAAGAGGAAGATGTAAAAGCCGCGCCTTTTTTTCTTGATTCTGCTAACATACTGCGGAACCACAGCGGTGGATAGCCCGATTGCCACTCCAGCAGCACACCGAAAAGCGTAAAGCGTTGGAAGATACGAGAATATCAATCCGATTCCTGATATCGAGTGCAAAAGCAGTATCAGCCCAATCCACAGGTTCAGTTTCATATTTATATTGTTGTATAGCACACTTCCCGCCAAAGGACTGATGAACAGCAGCGATGCCAGCATGTAGAACTCCTTCAGCGTGTAAGGCGCGTTGTGCGTGAAGTAAAGCTTTTTTATGATTTCCAAAGCGGTCAAATGAAAGCCGAACGACAAACCGCAGGCATATGCCACTAAAATGGAGTAATTTGCGAAGGCGTTCCCGCTTACACGAGATGTTATCTCAACCTCATCCTCTGATTGATCGTATTGAAGATGCACACGTTCTGTCATTTTTGCTTGGGATTATAATTTAGTGTTTTTGTTTTTAATGACACTTATCGCGGCTTTATTTTTTAATCTGTACGAAAAAAGGAAGTGAAAATGGTTGGTTCACGGTCTGCAAACAGTTTTCTGAACTGACGAATACCTTGCACAGCCTGGCAAAATATTCGTACAGAGGCAAATGGAATATTTTCAGATTAAAACACGTTTTGATGTTGAAATTAGAAAGCATCGAAGATTTGCGACGTATTTGATCGTTAATAGATTAAAATGATTTAATGGCAAATACGTGTACAAAAAATTGCTTATTCTGAAACGTGCTCATAATTTTTGTGGCACATGACTTACCATATAAGTACACGAGCACCCTCATTTTTTAATATGGCGCTGCCACCACAATCCTTGTCTTTGAGCAGCTTCCTGCGAATTTTACCCTGATGCACACACGATTCTACAGATTACGGTGTTATGGCACAGAACATTTTTGTAGATGTTTCCTAAACCAGGAACACATGTCAACCAATCAAGCGTATTGTGTGATGTGGAATCGCACATAATCCGGTTGATCAAATCATTCACGCCAATTTGCTTATTTTGTTTGTACTCGAAATTTAGCGACACAATGTTCTGTTTTTGATATTCGTCTTCTCAAATTACGGTCTCAGGCTCTGCTTCAGCATGTACTGCTATCGCTGGTCATTAATTTCAAATTACGGTCGCAGGCTATGCTTCAGCATGTACTGCTATCGCTGGTCATTAATTTCATATCGTGCTCACAGATGATCAAACATGCAACGTCTGGCAGCCAAAAGTACGTTTTCTTGTCCCCTTGTACCATCGATACATGACTTGATCGGCAATACTCTATGCGCGGGATCACCTCTTCTGAGATATTTACGGAGCCGTGTGTGATAGTTACACGGTTTTTGTAATCAACACGCACTGTTGCACGGGACAGGACAAGCATTCGTATTCTATTTACCACTAGGATGTGCGGATAGAAATCAGTCTTTGAGCAGCTCAAGTATGCCATGAAATGCAACCTTTCGTGAACTTGTTATAGCATGTTCTTTAACGATGTTGAATAAACTCAGTAAACCATCGGAAACAGGCATGATACGAAGAGAAAAGTGCATTTATGAAATAGTAAAAAGAAATTTACATTACTGATTGCAAGATCATTTATATCAGCGCTGTTTATTACTATCTAATATCACCAAGCCGTATCAGAAATTAATCTGTTTAAAACATTTCTACTTTTGGAAATGTTTCTGTGTAAAGTTTGGATGCGAAAATCTTTTATAGAAATATAATTACATGTTTTATACCCGGAGTGTATTCAAACATCAAATTAAATACCTCGATTTAATTAAGAGAGCTAATTACGGAACCGAAATCAGCTCAAGCGATTAAATGTATGGGCCCATGCGCAGGTATGAGCTGATACTAATATTCGCACAGAGCACTATTTATCAAGTGTTGTGCCCATTTGTGCGCTTAATCTCTCGATTACTTCGCAAAAACGTGCAAATAAATTTAATCGAAAAGGTTTAATAAACGGTGAGCAGTGTGAAGTATATTTGAAATAGTAAACAACCTCAGTTTGGTTAAAACAATCACAAAGATCAATAAAAAGTGTATAAAAGTATATTTTGTAGATTGGTAAATCTGCTTACAACTAAGAGGTGTTTCACTCTAACAACATTAAATAAGACATCCTTTAAAACCACCAAGAACAAAATTATGGACAAATACTAAAATCATGTACTATCGAGGTATAAAAATGTAAATCCTGTGAACGGCGAAACAATTGCAGAACAAATTTTAGGTCCAAATACGGATATGGAATCAGCAACCCGTCGCTTACACACTTAACATTTTATACAATTACCCAATTTTAGTATTTGATTGCTGAGTGTACATCTTTAACGCTGTTAAATAAAGATAGTAGCTGTGTAGGTAGCAGAATCATCAACATATTAACTGTTATGGTGTGCAAGCACACCATTATTATCAATTTAGCAGAAAAATATCCTGATCACCGTGCCAAGCGCGAGTAAAAACACCTTTTACGCGAGTTATGACATTAAGATGGCTTCTGGTTGAAATGAGAACAGGGGCACTGCGATAAATGAACCGTAGTTCTCATTACCACTAGAATGATAAACAAGATACCAACGAATTATTTATTTGTGGATTGCTTCCATGCTTGTCTTGGAGAACAGTGTTCAAAAACTGCACCTATTGGCAATGAACTGAATTGGGAATGTCCTTCTTATTACGCTGAAATAACTCAAAAGGTATCTGAGCCGCACGGGAAATATTATGGGCCGATTGCGGATGCATGCGGGGCAAATACTTTGGGATGTTTGCAACGCTGGTGCTGTAGGAAGGGCAAGAAAGGTCGTTTTGCAGTGTTTTGACCACATTCGTGCTAAAGCTGTGTTTTAGTTGTAAAAAGTGATTTTTAACCTTGGCATCATTTCGTAACACCTGTATTGATTCGTTTGCTCGTATGATACAACGTATTTGATGGTGTTTGCCTAAACTTTCTGTAGTAAGCTCTATCATACCAGAGTGGTGTACTAGCAAGAAATGTGTTCAGAAAATGAGAGCACTCACTTGTTGGTAGCGGGTAAAGAGCAGAGCTGTCTGTAGGTACGCTCGTGATGTCCATTATTCAACCATTCTCAGCATATATTTGTAATTAATCAAAATTTTGTTTGTTAACGATCACTGTTCAGAAATTAAGTGTTCAGGTCCTTGATTTCGAACTATTAAAATGGCTTAATTATGGAATTAGCTGAGTACTGCCGTTGTGAAATTTACCTGCTTAATAAATTCAGGCATCGTTGTTACGATTCGCATCCGTTATTTGTTAACATCTCAAAATTTTTGTCCGTTAATTTGGCACATAAAATAATTCAAATCGATCCTTACACTCAATACGTGTAGATGCACCGTAAATACGTAATTGCTGTTGAGTGTTGGCAAGGTCGCTCTATTCTGCGGAATATTTTCTTTTCGCCTGTGTTTGTCATAGCGATTATCCAATGGCAGTATCGCACTCGCTGATGACTTAATCGGCTCTTTGATCATAGAGCACCTAAGAAAGGATGCATACCGATGAAATGGTATGAATCATAGTTGGACGCACCTGATTGGCGTGAGTGCCCATCAAAATTAATTCTCCTCATTCAACTTTCTTTCGCACTCATTCCCTTCAATTCACTAATCATGGTCCTACTGCTCCTTAATTCATTGCGCCAGTAAATATTTACAGATTCTAAAACATGATGTTTCAAATAAAAAATTTTCTTCATTAGAAAAAAATTGTTTACCACCCATGCCTTTCATAATAAAACGAATTTTGTTTTATCCGAAAAAGAGCGTGATGGAAATAGGCAGTCCATCGGCATACAGGCCATACATACATGAGAGCGGAATACCAGACAGCGAGGTTATTTTGTTCACAGAGAACAAGGCACGGGAACTGGTGGCAGGGGGAACGACTATCACCAAGGAAATGCTCGATGCCATGGAATTTTCGAGTTCTTCGTCAGAGGAGTTTACGGAGGATAACCAGGAATTGATAGAAGGGAAAAAGGCAGTCTCGGAAAATATCGATAAAATAGTTGCGGATGAGTTTAAGGCGAATTTGCACAGTGATGAGGGCGAGAGCACAGAGGAGAATTCTGATGAGTTTAACAGAGAGACATCTGGCGATATGGAGAAGCAGTTGAGCGAGCGGTTGGAAGGTGTGGTGAAAATTGATGATGGAGCAAAGACAGAAGAGGATGTATCATCCGTTGATAATGCTGCTGAGCAAGGAGAAAGTGTTGCTGCACCGGTAGCGATTGATGACCAGGTGGATAAAGAACAGGAGAAGCCTGTCCAGCCTCCTGATGCTGAGCCTGCTCAGGTCGAGTCTCTTGCTGAGATCGAAGATGCCTCGGTTACTTTAGACATACCACAGGACAAAGCAGCAGAACATATCTACGTTTATCAGCCAGCTGCGTTCGAATCGCTTCCCGCAAAAGTTTTGCTTGAGCAAGTGAAGACCAATTTTAATGTGTGCTTTTTGGACCTTCACGATGACATTGTCACTCTCAACGACAATTTCAAGAAAGAATTTTACAATAAATTCATGAAAATTTTGGAGGACGAGATCGCACAAAAGGATTTGAGCGATAAGTATATCAAGTCCCTGACAGACGTTAGAAAGAGCCTGATGAGCAAGTATGAGAATGTTGTCAGGAAGGATGTTGATGTCCGGTACACAGTTGATGAGATACTTGCTATAAAGGAGCGGACCGAAATTCCCATAAATGTTGACAAGACAATATTCGCTGCTGCAGCCCGTCGTGAGCGCAGGGAAGATTCGATTTCTCTGTTTAGACTGGAGCTGAACAGAATTGCCTGGACGAACAGCAATAGCACCATTGAGAGGATAAAGAGACTGAAGGTTAAAAAGGACACAGAGATCAAGAAGATGGCCGAGGTGCTCTTCGATAAAGCAATTTCTGAGGAGGCTTTCTGCAAACTCTATGCATTCGTGGTGCAGAACCTGTACAAGACCTTTCGAAGCGATGAGGAAAAGCGCAGGGGCGATACGAAGAGCGTGTTTTTCAGCACTCTGATCAAACTGTGCCAGAACATCCTTCACAATAAGGAAAAGTGGACCACTACACACGATTTGAGTACGCTTTCCATGGAAGAACGAATTTCGATGGAAGAAACGCTCGAAAAAGAAAATATAGAGAAGGAAATCAAGAAAGGACGCATGCTTGGCACTGTAAAATTTATCTCTCTGCTTTATTCGTACACGATTATTGGTTTCAAGGGCATCAGTCTGTGCATATCCTCATTGTTAGATCTTGACGACGAGCAAAATGTTGAGACTCTGTGCGCGCTGCTCGGCAGCTGCGGTGAAAAGATGGTCCAGTCCGGGAAGCATGTGGAGCTTATAAATGTTATGAACATGCTAAAGCAGAAGCGGCAATGGAGCAATCGAATCCGGTTCATGGTGTGCGATATCTTGGAAAAGTGTGATGGCTGGGTCAAAGAGAAGCGAAAGGACTCGCCGTTCAAGAATTCGTTCTCTGCACTGAAAAACGATAGAGGATTTTTGATGAACAAGGAGAATGTTGAAATCGCCAGAAAAGAGAACGAAATGGTCGTTGAGCACATAACGGCTCCTCCAAAGGATGCTACTCCCGTGGCTAGCAACAGCGAAGGAAGAGAGAGTCGTCTGCTTGACATGATGGACGTGATGGCCCGAATAATTGAGGATGTTCCACATGTAAATGATTACACCAGTTTGATAAATGAAATGAAGGAGCGTACGAAAGAGGCTGATCTGTCTCTGATCCTTGAGTCGTATTTCCTAATAATCATAGAAATTTATGAGTCCTACGGCGATTACCTCAAGCTTCTGAAGCTGTACCTAGCGGATGTAAAAGCTGATGAGCGCGTCGTCAACGAAAGCATAGTCAGTGTAGAGAACAAGTTGGGTGATATATCTGTGGATTGCCCGTACGCGAAGAGCAATTTCCATTTTCTTTCCTATTGCCTGGGCAGATGGATGAACTGCCAGATAAAGGTGAGCGGATACGACGAGGGCGAAATGGAAAAGAAGTACGAAGGCCTGGCATTTAATTAAAAATAAACCAACGACATTCTCAACACGTTATGGCAGCATTCGCCAAAAATTGCGTTTGCATCCGTTTTAAATTCATTTAAGAAAAGAACCATTCAAATTCATTCCAGCTAACGCCTACTGTCCAGCGCAGTACTCACAGCAAGCTCCTCTTCTTCTACCCGTTTACCTCTCTGGCAGCAGCCACGTGCCAAGATGATAAACAGCCGTGCTTTAACCGGAAAAAGCCGTGCATGCCTGCAATTTCGTTATCAGCATCTTTCTGTTGGTTGAAAGTGCGAGCTGGCGTACCAAGTTTTTCCATGAACAGGACCAGCGGTCATGGTTGGTGCCAACTGACCAAAAAGTACTTTCATTCGTATGGTGTTGCAGTATGAGAGGATAGATAAACAACTTTTGTAATAAAACTGACTGCGCTGCTTTCATATGTGAAATTGAGCGGTACTCGTTATGAGCAGTTCGTTTGAGTACGTTCTGATAAATGACTGCGTATTTTACGCACTTTGCTGTTTTACCGTACCAATACTTTTCAAGCAATTCCTCGCAAACACGACATCACACGGTGAGAAAATCCTTCAGCCGAACGCAAATAAAACGGCGGTATTTTTTGTTAAACGCATTTCATGGCATCAAAATATTTCTATTGCAGGTAAATGCTCGCAGTAAGCAGAAATATCTTCTTTTATTCGCAGGATGTGTTCACCAACGATTTCACTTCCTAAAGACACGTTCTACCAATTATGCCATACGTTGCCAGTGTAGCATGCCCAGTTGCCCTTGATTCGGAATGAGGTGTAATTCATAACACAGCAACCATTCCGGTACAGGAAAACAGTCCTGTTACGATTGCTGCCCCTCTACGTTGCAAAAATGAGATAAAATTTCTTTAACGTACTTCCGTGTCATAGAGGTACACCACACAGGACAAATAAACCACCAGCAGGTTGCCACCATTTTAATTAATTAAATTAAAAATATTTCTGTGCATTAAACATGCAACAAACATTCAATAAATTCTAAGCGCCGCCCAGTTATGGCAGAAGAATCTTTGGTTCTACAGGGACACACCCAATCAGTGCTTTTGTAGGAAGATAGTCCGTTGCTGCTGATCTAGGGAACATATTTAATCGAAGTGCCATACGCCCTGTTAACACCTACCAAACAGGATTTCATCGCAGTGTTCCAAACACAGCGGTTTGTTTAACAGAAATGTTTGGCCTACCCCACCATGTCGATCGGTCTGACAATACGGACCCTGTTATCAAAGGGCGTACTAAAGGGATCGTACGATGCCGAGACAATATCAAACATCAACAGGGAGTTAAGATCTATGAACTACCAAGCGATTCAGAACTGCACAAAAACGCTGCTCGTATTGAAAGACATAGAGCCGCCATCATTCGACAATTCGCAGATTCTTCTCAACCTCGAAAATTTTATTTTAAATCGTGAACAGCTCGAAAGAGGAACGCTGGAATGGCTGACAGAGATGGATTGGTACGCAGACGGAGAGTTTACAGACGTTTTTCTGATTCAGAACGAGGAGTACCTGCTGAAGAAATTTGACAAGATCTTTTACAGGTGCAAGTTCTGCAGCCTGGTCGCAAAGGGTAGCGATGAACACGAATACTGTCTTACCGTGTATGAACAGCACTTAGAGAATGTGTCCTAGGTGAGCACGTCGAACTGGTCAAATATAAAAGGAGGCACTCGAAAAATGCGATATAACGGCAATAAAGTACCTGAGATTAAAGCTGAACGAGCATGACGTTTAAGCGCATATTCGCAGAGTGCGAGCGGATCAGCCAAAACGTTGTAGTTACGCTCCGTTGCGTCCTCTTTACACGTTCGGTAATTTTAACATGGTACCGCTATCCCGTATTGTAAACAAATCAAAATTTTTTTAATAACTGTACGCTCTCAACAAAGTGTTCTTTTGCCGGAACAGCCTTTTCAATTTTTCTGCCACGGGTAGGTAGCGAGTCCCTGTCCTGTATCATTGTGCCAAGCGTATGAAAGTGGTAGATAAGCCATTTTTAGTGAACAAGCGTATTGCCACGTTCGTTTTAAGCGGCTCGCAACGCTCCTCAACTGTTAATCTCAAATTTAAAAGCGCCTCACAACGCTCCTCAACTGTTGACCTCAAATTTAAAAGCGCCTCACAACGCTCCTCAACTGTTTACCTCAAATTTAATTAAATAGCGAAACTTAAAATTTTAAATCCTTGCTCTCCTCCCACTTGTAGCCTTTCTTTCCAAAATGTCCGTACACTGACAATCCGCTGTAGATAGGCTTGTCCAGGCCCAAAGCCGCACAGATAGCTTTTGGTCGCAGGTCAAAATTCCCATTGATTATTTCTATGATCTTCTCATTGTCAATAACTCCTGTTCCGTACGTGTCTACATAGCAAGAGACAGGCGAAACCATTCCAATCGCGTACGATATCTGCACAAGCGCACGCTTGCAGATATTATTGTCCACAAGCGACTTTGCAATCCATCTTGCTGCATATGCACCCGAACGGTCAACCTTTGTCCAGTCCTTCCCGCTGAAAGACCCTCCTCCATGCAGACCAAACCCCCCATACGTGTCAACGATTGTTTTACGCCCTGTAAGACCGCTGTCCCCCTTAGGCCCACCAATTACAAACTTGCCAGACGGCAGAATGTGATACTTTGTTGATCTTGCCAGGTCCTCCGGTAGTATAGCACAGATTTTTTTGTGCAGAAACTTTCTGAACAGCTCGAATGGTTGTTCCGTACCGCTGGAACATTCAGATGTGTCGTAAACGCATCCACTCATTACATCTGTCCATCTCTGCAGATCTACATCATGCTGCACCGAGAGCACAACATTGTCTATCCTCAGCGGGACCAGCTCGTTATTCCTGTTTTCGTACTCAATCGTTACCTGCGACTTGCAATCTGATTTGATGAATTCGTACGTTTTCCTCAAATTCTCAATTTCCTCGACTATCCTGTTGGCCAGCAACAGCGTAAGCGGTATTCTCTCTTCTGTCTCGTTCGTCGCATACCCGAACATTATTCCCTGGTCACCGGCACCAATCTTATCGTAACTATCCAGCAGGCTGCCGTTCAGCTCGGTCTTTTCCACCGCACTCCTTATATCATCGCTCTGTGCTGCGATGTTCTCTATGACGAGCGCTGTCCTGTAATCCATTCCCGTGCTCGCATTGTCGTAGCCAGCCTCTCTGATCACATCGACCACACACGCCTTCGTGTTAATCTTAGCACCGCTGTTCACCTCACCGAACACACACACCATGTTCTGCGTAACGATGCATTCTACTGCCACCTTGGCCGACGGATCCTTTGATAGATATGTGTCCAAAATCCTATCTGCGATTTGGTCACACAGTTTATCGGGGTGGCCCTTCCCAACCGATTCAGAGGTGTACAGAAATTTTGGATAGCTCGACATTCTGAGGGTTAGATTCAAATATTAAAAAATTTGTTCCATTGACGGTTTTTTCCCGTTATGTGGCATATCGCAGCTACAACGGATAATAAACGCGTGAAAAGAGTTGAGTAGCGATAAGTAAGCATGATTTGAGTAAAAAAAGGAATGACGGCACCTTTTGTCTGGATGTTATCTCATATCGGAGTAAATATTTTATTTGAAATCCTGTTTAATTACCGCTCCACACCCCATGTTAGAGCAAGTGAACCATCCTCCTGCAACATCTTTAGCCCGAGTTTATGCTTTGAACGATTACCGCCGTTGTGCGAAGACGGTTCATTTACTAAAACGCGATACCAAAGAGACATTGGATAAGCGTGTTGTTAGGGTGCTACGGCATGAGCAGACAAAGGAACAACTTGTAGTCAACAACAGATTATAGTGCCGTTTAAATGTGTGAACTGCACCATTCTTACCAGCACTGTCAAAGCAACTAATCTTATCTCTGTGCTAAGCAACGATTTACTTCTCCTGGCACAACCTCCTTTTTACCCTTCTGACACTCAGCGCAGATTTGCTCCACAAACACCTATTCCTGTGCACATCCATCTTCAACACCATGTACGTCACTTTTCTCTTCGAGCTGTTTTATTCTCTTCTTGTACGTCGCTTTTTTTGTTTCCAGCTCCTCAACATGCCGCTTCAGCCTGCACATTCTGTTCAACACCTCCAACGACTCCCTTTTCAATTCAACGTTCCTGGCACTCAGCTTGGAATTCTCTTCAATAACATGTTCCAACCTCTTATTGCACAGAGATATGGCAATGTCTCTGTTCCTGATCATCACTTTTTCTACCTGTTTGCATCTTTTCACCTTTTCCCTGCTTTGCCTCGCATATCGCTCGATCTCGTCGATACGTTCCGAAATAATTGACAGCGATTCCTCTATTTTACGTATGTTGTCTTGCATGGGCATCGCAAATACTTTTGATTTACCGAACTGGCAATCATCCGAACCCTCTGCTATTCTGCTGTATTTTTTGAGAGTTTGTAGTTATTTGTGCCTTTGCTAAACTACTAAGCGTTCTTCTCTGGACCAGGGCAATGGATATGTAGTTCTGAATAAACAAATTTGTGTGGAATGCGGTCTGCTTATGGCAAATAAAATAAAGCGGTGGCAGAAACAGGGCTGGAAGACTGTGGCGAGCACCAGCAATTCGAAAATAATCAGTCCACATTTCTATCAAACGCCTTTTTGATGAAAAGTGTCGTTTAACAGGCTAAATGATAACATCTATGCATGCGATACACCTACTGACGCACATATTTCCTGCTACAAGAGAATATAAACCTAAATTTGCACGTGTATCTGTCAAGCATTTGCAAATACTCTTCTGTAAACGATTATCGTCATTTATTTGGACATTTTTCAGTTTTAATTAGCTTTTACCGCAGATCTTCCAATTCATGCCGAAAAAAACGCAGATGCTGTGCAATTCGCAACTACGCATTCATTATTTGGTGTAGCGCTCCCAAAAGTTAGGCAAATCCGATTTACCGGCCACATTTCCATATTTTGGCACAATATTACGGTTACAACATGCACGTGCAGTTTACTCTGTTATCCACTCCCTCCACACATCACTAGGACATTCGTTCTCCTCGCTTACATCAAAAGTGATATTTTCAGGTTCTCTTTGTGCAATTTCTGCGTTTAAAACTTTTTCAATTTCTTGCTCATCAATTCTGTATTCAGGAAAGCCGTTCTGCTGCCAATTCTTCCATTCATTGTTCACTTTAACAAAGGCACGGATCAGCCTTGATTTCGGTTTCAACACTGAGTTAATGCACAACATAAATCGGATACTCCTTTTAAAGCGCCTCTCTCTCATGAGAATCAACAAAGATCGCTCATCAAAAATCTTCAGGTTCTCGTAATAACGCAGATTAACTCTTTTCTCTTTCCCAAACTGTTGCAAAATCCTAACCACATCTTTTAAGAATCTCTTGCTGTCGGTTATCATTCCGTTATTAAACACGTTTTTCAAATTTCGACAGAAATTGAGCAAATTTTCGTCAATTTCTCCGTCACACAGCGATTTCTTGACGGCAGACAAATCGTATTCAAGGAAATCGATATGCCTGCCATGTGCGGACACGTTGTACTCACTGAGTGTACACGACTTATCAAACATATCATACATGCACAGAATATATTCCATTGCTGTTTTGTTGTATTTTAACCTGTCGCTCCGCTGCAGATAGATGGCGGCCTTCAGAATTTTTGTGTGTTTGACCTGGCGGGAAGTCAAAATCTTTATAACCTTGCATAAGCGATGGGGAACATGGTAAAGCAGGTCCAAATGTAGCAGAATTTCTTTGGTCGGCAGCTTTTCTATTTCTGAACAGCTCATCGTTAACAGGGGATTTTCCATTCTTTGTGGGTGCAAGTGTAATTTTTTATGAAGGGCACCTTGCAGAATGTTTTTACAAAAGACCAGGAACGCGTGTTCCTTCAGATGCTGTTGATTTGTGAGGAGATAAATAAACGTGTTTTTAGTAAAAAATGTGTGAAACTCTTTACATGCTAAAATTTGCTCTACATGCTAAAATGTGCAAAGTAAAGCGTAGCATGGTTATTATCGATATGCTATGCAGAGATAAATACCGCTGCGCTGAACGGATGAGGATAAATGTATTTATTACTTTGGTTACGCTTCACACCACTACCTTTGAATCAGAACAGGCACAAACACTCAATTTGTTACCGGTAGGACAAGCAAATAAATAATACGGTTGAGAAACAATGACCTATGGTATGGCAACCCGTGTTTGTTCAATGCTTCGTGAGCAATATTAGAGCAGCGGTAGTGTTCAGTGATGTGCTGGCACGTTCAGATGTGTTTAGGCCGGTGTGTTGTTTGTGGTCCTTGTTAACGAAGATTACCGGTCCCAATGAAATGTTGAGGTTTAGGCAGGTGTGTTGTTTGTGGTCCTTGTTAACGAAGATTACCGGTCCCAATGAAATGTTGAGGAGTTACAGAGTATAAAAATGAGAAATAGTGCACCGCATAGTATATTTTGGCCAACACAATGCCGTATTTCGTTTGTTTGCACCAGGATTGCACTCTATGCACAGGTATAAACCATGGAAGTAAACCGTTCTTTATTTACTTCTTCTCTTCTCCCTTCTCCCGCTCTACCCTCTTTTTTTTCTCTTCTTGCTGTTGCATATTTGCCATCTGCTGATTGACCACAATCACATTTCCGTGCTCATCTCTCGGTCTATTGTCAGAATCGGACACGAGAGCCTTAATGATATACACAATCATCAGTATAACAATTAAGATGAATATAATGGAGATCCATCCATACACATTGGTGAAAAAGTCTTTGAAAATATCCTCGAGTGGCATTTAAAAATCAAGGCGTTTCAATTTCTCTTTTTTGTTGCGTAGAAAATTCGAAACATTTCATGTTTGGCAGCCAACTGGTAGAATCGTGGAACTGTGCCAGCGGTCTAATCACCAATTGATAGAGTGCTAGTGACAAAAAATGGGCATCTTGCTGTGTGTAATGTGTCTGTGCGTGGCAGTTGCACATCTGTCAAATGAGTTATCCGATCATGTACGGTCTTCAGCCAAATAATAACAAATTTCGGTGTAATATTACAATTCTCGTCAACTAAAACACAAAATACAGCAAATGATGAATAAAAATGCTTTCAGCAAAGATTGGTGGATCGATGGCCCACAGATAGAACAAATGCAGCAAATCGACAGAATTGTGAGGACACCTTTGAATTGCTTCATCATAACTAAACGGTATATCTGCCATTGGAACAAATACTTACGTACACTGCGTTGCACAACTGCAGGACACAAGCACGAGAACCCCTTCATATCCGGCACACACGTGATGATGCACTTCAAAACTCCGCTTCATGTGGCAGGTAAAATTATTTTGCAACGACAATCATCATTTTAATAGCTTTCTATCCCTACAAGAGTATTTTTACTGCCTGTCCCGCGAATAACAAAGAAATGGGAGGGCACAGGAAATACATCCATCAATGCCAACCATCCTCCGCAACAATGAAAAACAAATGCCGTAACGGACACGAATAACATTTATTGCTCTGTTTCATCCGTTTTTTGCCCGCTGTTCTTCTCATAAATAGCGCTATATATAACCTGAGCTTTGGCACCTGCCCGCTTGCTCTCATCTGTTCCGATCCCTATGGCATCATAAAACTCGTCAGCACTGCACTCCATGTCGCTCAATCTCCTAAAATAAGCGCTTTTATCGAAGCTTTCTATCATTGTTGTGAATAATTCCTTAACATCCGTTGAGATGTACACCCGTCCCCGTTCCATCAGGCAGTAATCAAAGCACTGAATCGTTTGCAACGATACCATACGGGCCTTCTTCTTCTTGTTCTTGAAGTGCGGATCAGGATAGAGTATGAAGATTTTCTCTAACGACCCTTCCTTGAAAAAGTGCACGAAGAAGAGCATCGCATTTGTCCGTATCACATGTACATTCTCGTATGTTGCGCACTCCTTCTCGATGTCTTCCTGCTTTTCAAGGGGTAATTTCTCCTCTGATCCAGCTGGTGCATCGCTGCCTGTCTCACATTTCAAGCTTGAACCGCTCTGCTGCTCTTTGCCGAGCGCATCCCTTCTCAGCTCCGCAATCTTGTCCCTGACAAATTCGTACACCTTTTTCCGTATCTCCAAGCCGTACACAATCTTGTCGGGACGGGTTTTCGCCACATGCAGAAGAAACCGCCCGTATCCGCATCCAACATCTACATAGCTAGCAGCCGGCAGATTTACGTTGCAGGGTGACGATGGAACTGTCATTTCCCGGATAGAAAACGGGTTGGCATGTGCATGCTGCCTGTAATCGCTTTTCCTCGGCATGGTCATTTTCACACCCTTTTCTCAAATTCGCAAATTTTATTTCTTTGGATTGATCAAGCCGGCAACAAAAATGAGGAATGCCTATGGGCCGTGAATGGCTCTTTATTCGTGTGCTGAGCGTGTGAAAATGCTAAATATCGAGTAGCACTCAAAAAGGGAAAAAAGACTCTTTAACGAAAGAAATGGAACAGTGAAGGGAAGTTTGGTAAATTTTGAATTTAAAGCCTTCTTTGGTTTATTCCGATGTATTCCTTGTGTGCACGCGTTACACATCACCCGTGATTTCTGATGGAGGATCGGTAAAATGCGTTCATTTAGGTGATGTTGTGTGGGACGGTAGGTGAACTGCTCTTGGTAAACAAAATCTGGAAAGCAGATGTCTGCCTTTCGTGAATCTTGAACTAAACCACGGATGAGTGGCCTAAAAAGCGGTATTAAAGAAAGCAGATGTCTGCCTTTCGTGAATCTTGAACTGAACCACGGATGAGTGGCCTAAAAAGCGGTATTAAAGATACTTTCATCAATAATCTGTCATGGACAGTCGCTCAACAGATACATGCCATAGATTGCACTCAACACACTTTTTGCTGATTTGCAGCCCCACATGATGAGATCTGCAGGCGTGCACGTTCTCCCTGATATTAAAAATTTTTTATTGCTGACCCATCGGAATGGAGGTCATCGACGAAAACAAAGTCATTGAAGAAACCACAACGACAACGCCGACTGTTGAAGGCGTGATCCAGCTTGACTGCTCCCTGTGCACGGCCGAGTCCTTGTTTGACACAAAGGACCTCACCAATTACCTTCAGTCCAACATCAAGGTAAAAGGCAAGAAAGGACAGCTCGGTAAGAACATAAAGGTAGATTGCACTGCTGATAACGTTACGGTAGAGTACAAGAGATTCATGACAAAGAGGTACGTGAAGTACCTTGGCAAGAAGTTTTTGAGGTCGAAGAAGCTTAACAGTTGGGTACGGCTCGTGTCCACGAGTAAGACTGGGTACAGGTTCTCGTACTACAACGTGGACAAGGGAAATGAGGAATAAATGTTTTAATTTTATGTTGGGTTATGGCCGTTTTCTCCGCTTTGTTTGTTTATCATGTCTTACACCAGGAGAACGACCTAGCGGGACAGGTAACAACTCGGATATTTTATCAAAAGCTCTCTGTGATGAATGCTTACCAAGTCTTTCACGTGTTATGAAAGTATTCAGAGGGCGAATTCTTCGTTCCATAACACCATGCCCATTGGCAGGCAAACACGCTCTCCAGTTTATTTCGTAGGAGGACGCGTGTTTAACCTTGTCTAAAATACAGATTGTTGCAATTTCTGGATGAGGAACTGCGGGATAGGAAACAACTATTGGATTGATTGTCCATAAGAAGTAGATTATTCTCCTCTTCGGCCCACTTTGCGGATTGTAAGAGACAGCAGAAGATCAACCGTTTAAATTTGTCGCACCAAAAGATTTTTCGTTTTGATATCGTGAAGTGCGGTAAAAAAACATTTTTAAGAATCTCGTTTATTGATCAGGCCATCAAGAACTAATTCCCGAAAAGAACGCGATATGTTGGTCATATTTTAGTTATAGTTAGTGTCCCATGGTGCCTTTCACATTCTGTTTTCCACATACAATCTTTAATGGTTAAAAGATAAAGAAATGTACTTTTAGCAAGATTTCGCTTTGTGCCAATTACACGTATGGTATAATCACTGGAATGTAACTGAAGCGGTAGATGAATTTAATTTAGCAAGGTAGATTGTTGATGACGTGCACGTGCAATGTTTACGCGTCAACTCATTATTGGTTCAGCGAAAAAGTGTGTGATGGCACGGTCCATTTTTTGTTAGTGGTATTTTCATTTTCTACGCCAATTTACAACCTAACCGTATTTTCTACACCTGTAATACGCATTGAGTGCCCTTGGAGCACGACCATCGTTCCAATGTGGACAGTTCCTGCAATCAAAGACCAATAACGCCGTATTAGATGCTCGGCGCATCAGATGAGTTGTTGTATGAGGTGATGCTAAACACATCTTCAAATAATCCCGTTTTTGAGGCGAAATAGTCACTTCAACCTTAGATTAAAACTGTTGCTCATATCTTTACCAGATAAAGTCTCTTTCTTAAGCAACGTTTTACCAGCAATACTGTTAAATAGCTGTCCTGTAATTTGCTCCTGAGCTGAACCAAATCGATTCGTATGTTCGCGGTAAAACGCAATGAACGAGACGATCTGCCCTCTCTCTAATTCCATTTCTATGTTTTATGAAAAAGTCTGCCTTTCGCAGCTGTCGATGTCAATAATTCGTGGTATTGTACAGTACTGTGTGGTTCGTTTATCTGCCACAAGGGAACAAAAACCTTTGAACTGCGTTACTACGCCTGTTTTGAATGCAGAACATGACTATGTTGAAGGATGCAACGCGCTACAGCACAGCATCTGAACAATGCTGCGAACGGTGAACAAAAAACGGGGATGAAATAAGGAACAATGCTCAGTTCTGTATGCTCTACGTTTATTTACAATTAACAAATCTTTTGTTCAAGACCCTTGTCCTTGCTCATCTTGTCGATCTTTTTCTCAAGTTTCTCCAACCTATACGCCCTAAATCTGTGTTCTGCAATAACTAAATGATATTTTACCCTTTCTAGCCGTCTCAGCTCCTCTGCCGACGCCCGATTCTCCTTTTTGAGGCACCCTAGGATCATTCTCTTGAGGAAGAAGTCTCTGCAGTTCGGCAGCACCCGTATCTCCTGAAACACAATTTGTCTCTTCAGCTCTTTTTTTGACATCGACTCGAAGGGTCGCATTTTAGCCACTAGTTCGTACATCACAACGCCCATGCTCCACACATCCACACCATAGTTGTACTCCTTTTTCTGGATGATCTCAGGTGCCATGTAGTACGGAGTGCCGACGATCATGCCGTCACGATTCGCTGATTCCCTGTCGTTCAATTGCTTCGATAGGCTGAAATCGCACAGCTTTACTTGCAGAAAGCTGCAATTCCTTCCTCTCATTCTGTTCAGCAAAATGTTACCTGGCTTGATATCCCTGTGTATTATCCTGTTGCGGTGCAGATAGGCAAGCGCATCGACAAGCTGTGAGAATATAGACCAGATAACATTCCTGTCCACGTTCAGATTCTTTTCTCTCATAAAACAGTTCAACCTGTCAAGATCACCGTAATTAGCGTACTCCATCATGATGTACACACCATTCCTGCTGTCCATCGAATCATAAAAACGCACAACACGTTTGTAAAACAGGTTTTTGATGATTTTTATTTCGTTTTCCGCATATTTCTGATTTTTTGATGACACCGACTTGCACACGACAAGTTTTGGTCTCTTCCCGTTACTTTCCAGAAGGTAAACCGTGCCATGTGTTCCGTTGCCCAATTTCTCCAAAAACTTGTAATTCTCTAGTTTCATCGTGTGCTTGTCCCTGTTTATGCGCAAACTGCACTTTTGGAGTATAAATGCAATTTTTAGTGCCTTAACAAGTTTTATTTGTTCTAGATGAAACAAATTAATTGAGGTGATGCACGGGTTGCTAAATATGGCTGGTATTTTACGGGCAATTTTACTGTTGCACAGTCTTGGTCAAGAAAATGCTTCATCGGACAGCTCTTCATCCGAACAGAACTTCGTTCGATAAACGGTAAATTTTTCGTTTGTGAAATCGAAGGGATGGACACATTTTAATATCCAAGCACATCACATGTATCGAGTTTCAGGCCTGCCAACTCTACATCTCCAGTTTTATTAAAAAATAGCTTTGATTTCGAAGTTACCGTATTTAAGGAATTGAAGAATTACTTGGTGCTGGAATCGAAATGGAACGCAAATTGCAAGTAAAACGATCCAAAAACCGTTTCGTGCATTAAATTGAAACAAAGGATCAGATAGCGAGAACTTTTAATCAGAGAATCGTACTAATAAGCCTGTTTTACCGGACAGCTTCGTACATCGCTATAAACACGATCAATACAGGAGCGAAAATAACCGAGATAAAAGGATGAAATGACCAGGTATGTGTAACTCTAGCAATGGCGGTGAGAGAGATCTCCTTTGCACAGCAAGGTGCATATTTTTATAGTTAGCCACAAATTACACACGTAAAACTATCCTACTCTCGAAAGATAACCGATCATTCTCAACACCAAAACTTTTCTGTCCAAGGCCGTTCGCTAACGATTTACAGCCCCATTCCTTAAACTCATCTTTTTAGAAAGTCTGTTTTTTTACCACCTCACGCACGAACAAATTAAATACACCTTTTGCTGGCGTACTCCATCGGTGTGAGGATCTTCTTTGCTCGTTTCTACGCGTTCTTCTGAAAGTGTTCTGGCCCGGGACATTCTCAACAAAAATGCTTTGCTGGCTCTTGGCCCAGGGGTCATGCATTCTTGTGCCATTCATTTACGCTATCACACCAGATAGTATGTCTGAACCATCCAGCATAACTTAAATTGATGATGGAGTGATCTGTTTGCTTTTGAAACACTGTCTCAGATTGCTCTTCTTTAAATGTGGCACTGGAGAGGACCGTATGAAAACTGGCGCCGGTTTAATGAGCACGGACAAGGGAAATCCAAGCACCGACACCGACATATCTAAGATATTTAAGGTGATGTCCATAATAACGGTTTTCATGCTTCTCGAACTGTGGGGTCACTGGCACAGCAACAGTTTGTCATTGTTGGCCGATTCTGTGCACCTGCTCGTGGACATTCTGGGCTTTATGGTGAGTCTTATCGCGCTGAGCTGGACAAAAAAGAAAACAAACTGTAGGATGACGTTCGGATACCATCGATATGAAGTGATTGGTGCCTTGGTTTCGATCCTGTTCATATGGGCAGCTACAGCATATTTAATCCAGGAATCGGTCAAGAGATTTTTATATCCCCAGAAGATCAACGAGAAAAGTTTTATGCTCGTGGCCACGGTTGGTTTTGTCGTTAATCTTTTCTGTCTGCATTCACTTCGCCACGGACACAACGAAAAGCACGTGTCAACCAATTTAAACATGAAGGCCACCTACGTGCACATCATTGGTGACCTAATACAGTCCTGTGGCGTGCTCCTGGCCAGCGCACTTACGTTTTTCTTTCCGAAGATAGTGTTCTTCGATATTGCGTGTACTTTTGTGTTTGCATTTATCGTTCTTGTCTCAACGTTGCTTGTTGTTGGCGAGGCCCTCAGCATCCTTGTTGAATCGGCACCCAGGAAAATTCCGGTAAAGAACGTTCACAACGATTTGCTAGAATTGGACAAGGTGCTGGAGATACTTGACCTGAAGGTATGGTCTGTAGGTGTGAACAAACACGCATGCATGGCAGTTCTGCTCTGCGACAACATTCTCACTTTCGAGTATGAGATGATTTTGATGAAGATCAAGGACATATTGAACGAAAAGTATAGATTTAGTTATTTAGCGGTGCAGATTGAGACTAAGAACATGAGGGCCAAGTACGATGTGATTGTATAGGACGAAAGCTGGGTTTGCGCGAGGAAGAAACTGAGGACTTGCATGCATATGCTGTCTTGTCGCGCACCACTGTGCTCCATGGCGGTATTTATAAATGATAATATGAATTAAAATGTTTTTAAAATACGTGCTCAAGCATTCACCCGTTCGTCACGCTTTTCTTTATTTTTTCACCACGGGAGAAAGATCACAGGCACCATCCTTTCTTGATTGTTTTTTCGCCACTACGCACGTCATCATCGTTTCTATTCCGTTGTTTACTATCGTTTGCTTCCTTTATTTGTTTAAAGTACGTGTGTTCACCTCCTCATACCAACAGCGTTTTTGCTGCGTAAACTATTAAATTTACACGCCGAGCATGTTATATCACGTCGTTCTGAGGGCAAGTGCAATTCCTGCTGTGTACTGGGTGTATAACACGTTCTTGTATCGTTTCTTGCGAATAGAAGTCAAAACTTCGATCAAATTAACAACCAATTACGCTCCCTCATCACATCTTCGCACATCGCAGCAGCCAAACCACGCCACAATAACTCATCAACATTTCAGTGCGAACAGCAACAAATCACCCGTGTTAAAACCGCTACTTCCTCATGTTAACACTAAATAAAAACTACCTTAGATACCAACCCTGTTACCAACGCGGTTTGTCATACGTTAATTACGAATTGTCCGTAATTAAGGCCCATTCATCGGTAATAGTGGCGTTTATTGTTCTGGAATGCAAAACATTTTTTGCGATTACCACCAACCAAAGGAATCGCAAGTTTTTGGTGCCGTGTGTTAGAGAAAAGAATTTTTGCCAAAAATATACCTGGCAACATCTTAAATTGACCTACTACAATTTTTAATCCCACAAATCTACAACGTAATAATCTTAGATTTGATGCCTCATCAAGTGCTGCAGCTCATGCAGAATACCATCAAGAGATCAGAACGTTTCCGTTCGCACAAATTAAGGAAGTAATTCATTGTAAATTGCTGGTTGGGGTGCTGCTGCGCACGGCACAAGAATTAATCATCAAGCAGACAGGTGGATGGGAGTTTCATCGGCAACGACAAGCATACTCCTCTTTTACGCGGAAAAACAGTTCAGTCGCGGCATAAGACCCGTCTATCACGCCTATGGAACATTAATTGCACCACACCATTCTTTAAATTGCTATTTAATCAACCGGTCCATATCTGCCATACATTACTTTACCTGGTGTTTCGCTACGTGTTCATCTATTCGCATTGTGCAACACTGCCGAACCAATCACCCAAGCAAACGATGGTTAAACGCGCTTGTCCGTGATGTTCAAAGCAGTGCAACCGTAGATTTTTGGTATGTGAAAAAGTGGATGCTACTTTCATTTGCCCAATTTCTCCTGCCTTGGACAAATTTATACATCAAAGGAGTTTTTAATTAAAATATGAAGTAAAATATAAACAGCAGTAAAATACTCGTCACACGGATAAATGACGGTCCTGCCCGTTCACGCTGCTATAACTTTGCACATTTCTTAAATTAATAAAAATTTTAAAACTCGTCCCTCTCGATGACGCAGGATGTGAACGAATTCATGGAAAGCCTGAAGATTTCAGAGAGTTTGAAGGATCAACTGAGAAAAAAAGAGTATGCTGTGGAAAACCTGAGGAGAATATCGAGGTACGCTGTTATCGACAAAAACATTTACTACAATATGTGCCTGTCTATAACAGACCTAGAGGATTGCTACGTATCGGAGATTGTGGATTTGATCGAGGAAAAGATCGTTATCAACGAGAACATGCTGAACAAGTGCATTGAACTGGCCCAAAGAAGAAAATGCGGAGAGAAAAAGGGTGCCTTGGCGGATTATGTGAGAAGCGTATCGTTTGACGACCACAAGTTGAAGGAGGCCGCTGAACAATTCGATAATTTGAAAGAATTGATGAGCCATGTGAGCAAAGACGATGAAATGGTGTTCTACGACCCGAAGAGAGTTATTGCTGTTCTGAAGGGTCTCAACGTGAAGAGTAAAAAGATCGAAAGGAAGGGGATCTTAAACGAGGGGAAGCTGAGGTACTTGCACAAGGCCGGGGAGAACCCGCAGATATCGGAAGAGATACTGCAAGAGCATCTGAAGAGAACGAATGGAGAGATTATCACCAGATTTCCGCCAGAACCTAATGGCTACCTGCACATTGGCCATGCAAAGGCGATGTACTTGGACTTTAACTTCGGAAACAGATGCATCCTGCGATATGACGATACAAATCCAGCAAATGAAATGGCTGAGTACTACGAGAGCATTCTGGATGATGTACGGTGGTTGGGGTATGTGCCGTGGAAAATAACCAGTGCAAGCGACTATTTTGATGAACTCATCAATTTTGCGAAACAGATGATTAAGAATGGAAGTGCCTACGTATGTCACTTGTCGACGGAGGAGATCAAAGCACAGGTTCAGAGCCCCTACAGGGACAGAAGCCCAGAAGTGAACACCGCGCTCTTTGAGGAGATGATTTGTGGCAAATGGAAGGAGGGCACCGCCATTTTACGCCTTAAAATGGACATGGAGAGTAAAAATATGCTGATGCACGATCTCATAGCATACAGAATAATAGAAAAGGACCATCTCAAGGCTGATAAGAAGTACCACGTGTACCCGTCGTATGATTACACGCACTGCATCAACGACTCACTTGAGGACATCACACACAGTTTCTGCTCGCGTGAGTTCTTCAGCAGAAGAGCGTCGTACTACTGGCTGCTTGATAATCTGCGGGTGTATAAGCCTGTACAATGGGAGTTTTCAAGGCTGAACATTTCAAATACGGTGCTGTCCAAGCGCAAGCTGAATGCTCTCATCCACAAGAAAATTGTTATTGGTTGGGACGACCCGCGCCTATTTACGCTACGCGGACTGAGACGGCGCGGTGTGCCGCCACAGGCGATTAATGCGTTTGTTGAAAAGATAGGGATCACGTTCAACGATAGCATCGTGGATGTGCGGCTCTTTGAGAACATTGTGCGCGATTTTCTGAAGGACCGGCAGATCGTAAACGTGATCTACGATCCAACGGAAATGGAAATTGAAGGTCAAGGAGTCATTTTGATTGACGGCGATGATTTTAGACAGGAAAACACGGAGGGCTTTTTGAGGCTCACGTACGGCCAGCCGGTCGGTCTCGTCAATAAATGTGCCGTTGAACTGATCAATATCGATAATGGACTGCTGAAAGTGAGACAGACGGATAAAACGTTCAAGAGCCGCATACATTGGCTTCAAAAGGATCTACAGAATGTCAAGATTAAGGTGCGTGAGCTGTCCCATCTCTTCAAATCGTTCAATCCTGAAGAAAAAGACTTTTTGGAGGATGTCGATCCTGATAGCATGCTGATCGTTGACGGTCTGTGTGAGTCGAGAATCATGGATGTCAAGGTTGGCGATGTAGTGCAATTCTTTAGGAAAGGGTGGTATTGTCGAGACGAGGACGAGAATGGGTTCATGATGTTCAACAAGACAGTGGGAATGAAGAAATAAAACGGATGTATCATCGATATTTCGATCATTGGCTGGTACATGTCAAGTAATAATCGTGTTGTATTTATGGTTTAAACTGTTTTACCGTTTTTAGCCACATATTACACATATCGTGCATTCTGCACGGCTTTTTGTACAAATTATTCTCCTGCATAGAATTGTTAACAATCTATGATGGTGCTGTGATGCAATTCTAGTCTATTAGCAATGCTGGTAACCAATTTATCACCATCGCATATTTTTTTTCAAATATTCATCTGTTGCCTGATCATTAAAGCCTGTGAATCCATAGATTGATCTTTCCAGCATTTACGCCTTCAAAATACCTAATTTGATTTCTTTAACAAGGTCAATAACATTCAGAGGAACTGAAAAGATTGTTCTCCTGTTATACATCAGCTCCTTTTCGGTACCTTTGGCCTGTAAAATGTTCTATATTATCTCACAACTGAGCTACAGACCCAAATATTTTTATGAGGATGTGGTGAGCAGCTCTATATTTTACATGTCTATCTTTGCACGTATGTAAAATGTGTACGTATGTTTTAACCTACTTATCACCGTTAAGGTGTGTTCTACGCACAATAACACATAGTTCATTTCGCTTTGTATTCTTTTGCAATGAAAGGACGAAAATATTTGCTATGTATCGCTAGTGTTTTGGAAATGACCTATTTGTGCAGTTCTGAGCTCAAAAATGGTAAAATGCTGATAAAAGCTATCATCAACGTGACTTGATCATGTGTAAGCAAAAATTACCGCATATAACTCAATTTACAGAAATTAAACTCTAAACACGGTGCTATATCTTTTTTAATGACATTTAATTGCTCACATAGCATGTCTCTAAACACTAAATATGCGCATCATGGCTGTTATCTATCTTCCTCCTCTTGACATCTTCGCGCAATTCATTACCTACCTTGATTTCGCATCCTGTCTCGTTCCTTTCATCGTGATCCGTTAATTTGTCCGAGAAGTACACATCGCTGAATGGGCTATCAGCATCATACACATACTTCTGTTTGCCATTCATATCCGTGGGCAACTTTCCCCAGCCATCCTCATCATATCCGTACTTGCTGTTCTTTGGAATTTCGCAGTTCACACCGGGAATCTTGTAAGCGGTATCTGGCGGCGGACCAATACGTTGCATGTTGTGCAGCCAAGGGGGCGGCGAATGCTTCTTCATGCCATACGCCTTTCTCAACTCCGTGCTTATATTTTCTAAGAGGTTGTCGCTTCTAGGTATTTTCATACCTTCGTGCAAATCGTAAAGTATGCCGGCTCGCAGTAGCCGTGAGCTGACGTATGCAGACTTAAGCATATTCTTCATCGTTTCATGCGGTAGCAAAAACTCATCCGTCATCTTCGGGTATTTTTTTTCGCTTTCCCTTTGTTTTTCAGTCATTTTTTCTGTGTGCTCGTAGAATGCCGCTCTCATTCTGAGCGCTCCGTCGTTCACAAACGGTGGTTCGTACTTCTCATGTGTATAAAAAGTTGTTTTCTTTGCTTTCCAGTGCGGCGGAACAGGCACTGCATTCCGTATGTTCTTATATTTGTTGAGAAGAATGGGGTTGCGCGCACTCACGTCCTCTATGTGCACGGTTGCAGGATTGTCCACGATAAGCTTCAGCTCCTCCAACTTTGACTGTAGAAGAAGATGTTTTCTGCGTTTTCTGTTCAGTTTCACATTTTTCTGTCGTTTAGACGGACTGCGACTTGGTGAAACGGGGGAAAGTTCCAAGTTTTGCCTGCAATCCGCCCTGTACAACTCAACCGTCTTAACACCACCGCATTTATCCAAAAGCATGTTGCTCACATCCCCTTTGACCACAATATTTAGATCTTCTACGTGCGAATCGCCTATTGCATCTCCATTTTGCCATTCTTGTGTCTTTACAGCCGTGTAGTTCGCATCACTCCTTCCTGGTTGACACACACCACCGCTCTTTCCAACTGTCTCACAGCCCAACTTAGCATTTTCCACGTCCTTTTGTGCGTGATCATTTAAATAAAACGAATCTTTCTTGATCTTCTTCGCCATATACCACCAACACGTTGTCTGCCAAGAAATAATCGGGGTTAGCAGATTTTGCTCCGTATTTCTTGCCGATTCGTAGTTTTCCTTTAACATGATGTATGGCAGCGCATAAGATTCTTCGTTACCTTCCACATCTAATATTGCGCTTTGAATCGCTTTTCCATCATAAACAGCCGTTCGCATCGTATCGTGTAGAAAAGCAAATGGTACCGCAAGGTAATTCTCTAAAACAAAAACTACCGTATTCTCAATCAATTACGCACCTAAAGTGTGCGCTGATAACTGTCAGCAATCTACAGTTCATTGTGATGGATGATCATCACGCATCATTGTTCTGGTAAAGAGGCGCTGTAATCACAATGAGATGAATATGGCTCATTTAACGTGCTGCCTTAAACGACCATAGCGCACGTTAGGTGTATCGGACATTGCTATTCGCAGAGAATAACAATTTGTGTATGGCGAGCCGCAGAAAATCTGAAGAATGAATCTCAGCACGGAACACAAAATGAAAAACATGCATGTCCAGCCAGACCGGCTTGACATGCAGACCGATCAAAGTGTTCTGTGGTAAACAAATAGACCGAACAAAACACGAAACATGGTTTTGACTAATTTCATTTATTCGCTTCATGAACAGCACCCTGCACTTAACCGAGCATTTGTCGTATCCTACGATCTCTCATCCCTGTAATCACGGTTCCATCGCCTGTGATAGACCATTTGCTCGTAGTATCCGGTAAATATGCTCGTCTTGGACCGTCTAAGATCACAGTCATCCACAAAATGGTCATTTTTCAGGCAGTTGCAGCAGCTCATTCTGACACTGTTCTTGCTCAATCTATCAAACTTGTACCTGCGCCACGTCAACGGACAATCCGGAATAGTGTGCTTGTTCGGACACCTCGTGCATATTATGTACCGCTTCCTCCTGTCCACGTTCTCCTTGCACTCCCTGTACCTGTGCCCGCACAGCCCACACTTCGTGCACACGATCTGCGGACAGTTGAAGCGAGGATGATCGGTGTACCCGCACAGTATGCAGATCTGTTGCGTTCTCTTCGGACACTTGCTTTCCACGTGCCCGGTCTCGCCACAGCCATAACAGACCCTCGTGTCTGCGAAGTATCTCAGCTGCGCGTTCTCGCTTTCCGTGTTATCGCTTACCTCCGAATCGGAGGACTCGAATGAGTGGTAAAAAAGGCTCAAAAATTCGTACTTGTTGTTCTCATCGCTTATAAACTCCTTAAAATTTTTGAACAGCTGCTCCTTGTTGTGCACATCAAAGCACCGCTTTATGAAAAGCACGATTTTCTCAGCGTTCACGTTTATTGAGCCGTTCTTGCTGAAGTCGAACAAGCTGCGTATCGTGCTATCGTCCTCTGTCTCGTCTTCGGCCGTTTTTCTGCGTTTATCGGTGGCAATCGTCAACTTTCTCGGATTCATTGAATGGGTATGATTAAATGAAAAGACGCGGTTTAATTAAAGACGGCCTGTAACAACGGCGTTTCAAACAAAATGATGCAACCAGGACCGGAGGTGAATCAATCAAAGGGAAGGATGGACCGCATAACTCGTACAATAAGCATCGGTGCGCTGAATTGATCGTAAAACAGGGGGTGTGATGGAATACATGCCATGAGCAATACATGATTAAAAATCGTTTTAGAACGGGAAATGATAAAATATAGGAGCAGCGGTCTGCAGCGCTATCTGATAGGTTCAGCATTCATTCGCCTGCTAGTTCTTCGGGTTGGATACGACCGCACGAGCAACCTTTCTAGAGCGATAGGGGTGAAACACAAATATTGTAATTTTCTAGGGTTGCTCTCCTCCAGTGGCACAAGAAAGCATAACATTCACCGTTCCGGAAATACCATCAATGATCAGCGATGAATTTGTTCACGTTGCTGTTCGTTTCAGGATCAGCACCATCAAAATATCACGAGATGTTCTTTTCCCAACGAAATTACGTTTTTTTACCGCTGCGATGCTCCTAAGTGACGCGTACTGCCTGCAAAGGCCGATTTAAAATATTTTGAAATTTCGTACCCATGGAAGTGCACACCGATCCAATCAACAGCGTGTCGATCAACAGCACAGAGGACCTGGCACTGACGGGTAGCATGGACAAGAAACTGCGTGTTTTTGCATTGGAGAGCAACAATTTGCGGTTCTTGTACGAATTGGGTGGTCACCAGTCAGAGGTGACGAAGGCAATTTTCATTGGTGGCACAGACATGATAGCATCCGCAGATTTCACAGGCAATTTGCTCCTGTGGGTCATGGATAGCAAGAAACACGTGCTTAAACAGCGCATCAAGGTATTTGAGGGCGCCATTACGTCGTTGGCGGGGCAGTTCAACAAGGACGCTACTGTGTTCTGTGGTTGTGCAGACGGCAAGATAAGGGCGTACAAGGTGACCGACACCGAGTACGGTGCGACCGAGATGAGTTCGAACGAGTACGGCGTTACGTGTCTCTCGTGTAACGACGAGTACCTGGTGAGCGGAGGAATTGACTTTAGGGTGAATTTGTACGGCAATAATCAACTGCTTGAGACGTGTGCAGACCACGAGAACAGGGTGAATGATGTTGCTGTGTGTCCATCCAACAAATTTGGGGTGTTCTGCTTCGCAAGCTGTTCTGACGACAAGAGCGTGATTATCTACACGAAGGAGAAGGACGGCTACAAGAAGCAGCGAATAGATATTGGTGAGGAGTGCTATGAGCTGTGTTTCAGCAAGACGGGGTTCTGTCTTACCGTTGGATATGGGAAGAATAATTTTAAAGCATTTGTGCCTGATGAGAATGGCAATTTCAAGGAGACTGAGGTTGAGGATATCGTTAATTAAAGGGTGTGATTTAGGTAATTGACGGGTAGAGGGTCGGCACCTGTGCACGGTATGCGATGCGCAACGGCAACCACGTAGAAGAAACATATGCCATCCCAGTGATAATTCATGCGCTTCTTAAAAAGCTGAGTGATGAGCGTACACGTGTCCGTGATTACCACCCTCGGCGGATTATCGTACGTGTTCACGTATGCAATGAAATCTTTGTGCGTGACCAATCGAAATAAATGCGATGCGAAGTGCGGCTGGAGCAGTAGGTAAATTTACTATTTTAGAATTGTGATTTAAAAACGGCATGGGAAGCTAGAATTCCCACCTAAGGTGTTGAAAATGATCGGCCGTGCATTGAAACGTTCTTCTCAGCAGCGATTATGCCGGTCTAGAAACATAGACAACTTCGATTTACACCTCATCTTATTTTAATTATGACTTCTCTGCTTAACGCTCTATTCCTTTTAAACATGGCTATGCCCGTCACAGATCCTTTACGACGATATTTCCGTTTCCTGTGCGCTGAGCACGGAGAAACCGTAGTCATACTCGTCCGACTCGGTAATCTCTACCTCCCTTGAGAACTCCTTGCTTCTTTGAATAAATTTGATGGGGACGTGCTTGTAGTCCAGGCCGAAAAGATTTTCTATCACCTGAATCTGCTTTACAACCACCTGATAGTCCGTGATAACCTGTTTGGGAAAAAACGAGGGTGCCGAGCATATCGCAAGATTAGTGATGTTCATATTTGTAGTGTCCTTGTTCGCAGCAAGCAGCTTGTACAGGCTCAATATCTGCATAAGTAACTCCCTCCTGTCGCCCAGAAAAACGAACGGCAGATACTGCGAAACCTCGTCCTTGATTTTGTAGGAATCAGAAGTAAAGCACTCGTAGATCGTTTCTATGATGGACGGCACGATGATGCCATTCAGGTCTTCCCTGATATAAGCCTTGAAAAACGACGCAACGTCTCTGATGTTGTACTCTTCCAAAATTATTTTTTTGCCTTCTCTCAGGTTATGCAGCATCTTGTTGTATATGGAGAGCTTGCCAGGTAACCTGAACAGGCCCTGCACGAGCACACCGTGTGCCCTAAAGTACGACAACACCTCAAATATAAATGGATTGACTTTCTCTTTTGAGAAATAGCTGAATTTCTCGCCCAGCAAAAATATTTCAATTTTCCGGAGGTTGTTTAAAACTCTTCGCTTCTTGGCCGGTAGTATCTTCACGATCTTACGCACGCAGTACACAGCGAGCCAGTACTGCTCCTCGTAGTTTAGATCGTAGTAGTTTACGTATGCTGAGCTGCGGCCCACACAGTTCTTCGCGGAGCACACGCTTATTACCGATGCGTGTACCGATGAATCTACGTGAGCAGATCTCTCAGCCTCATCTTCTTCGCCTTTCTCATTCATATTTCTCTCGTTTTCAGTGTTCTTCAATGGCTCGACATCGATACCATCCACTTTTACTTTGCTTGCCGTCGATTCGCTCAGCTCATCCTGTGCATCATCCTCGTCATTCACGACTTTACTCAAATCTTTAGCTGATTCGGACATTCCATCACCCGTTCCACACGCATTCTTTTCTGATTTTTCATTCTTACCGTGCTCCTCATCAAACTCTGCGCACTCGTCCTTTTCCGATTTTTCACTCCTACTGTGCTCCTCACCGTTTGCTTCGGCTAACTCCTCATCAGGTTTCTCACACCTGTCCGTATCAACCAATCCCTCATCAGGTTTCTCACACCTGTCCATATCAACCAATCCATCATTCTCGACCAATTCTTCGCCCTTTCCGTCCAGCACATCGTCTATCCTCCTATCTTCGATAAAATCGCTATCCCGGTCTTTAAACAACGCAACATTTTCCATCTCCACATTCTCCTTGTGCTTCTGTGCACTCCTAATTTTCAGCTTCACCTTTAAATCATCCAAAAAGCTCTTCATACTCTCATTCGCCGATTTGTTGTGCTTAACAAACGTCCCATCACAAAAACAAAGGCTTTTTTCACCGCTCCTCACGATGGGCTCCAAACACTTATCGCAAATCTGAGAGTTCTCATGGCCAAGATCCGCTCGAAGCGCATCGCACTCCACACAACAGCTATTACGGCAGTCCTGTGCCACCCTCAGCCGCATAAACCGCTCGTACTCGTTGTTTTGCGTCTGTCTGGTCAACTTTTCTTCCAGAACCCTGAAATCCACATTCTTTGTGTTTTCAAAGCCGTCCGTGCTCACATCATTCTTTATCACGTCACTGATGTACTGATCCTGCTCGTTGCTCTCAATTTCGATCGTTTCCCTTTTGACCGGTGCTTCAGACTCTTCAATAACCTTCTCGATTATACGCTGCTCCAGCTTGTGCTGCTTTTTCAATTTGATCAGGTAACACTCGCAGAACATGATGCTGCCGATGTTCTGGCAGTTGTCGTAGTGCTTGTTAAAGTTCTTGCAGAAGTGGTAGTAAAGATCCTTCAGGCAGAACGAGCACCCACACTCGTCATCGAGCACCTTTCCTGCGTTATTGTCGGGCTCGTACACCACGTACCTGCCCAACACAGACCGTCTTCTCTCCAAGTACACCTTTGGATCATTTTTCTCCGTTTCGAGCTTGTTGAATTGTTTTATACGCTCGTTTACGCTTAGCAGCTTCTCCTCGACCACCAGTCCAAATTTCTTTCGTTTGCACTGAATCACCTGTTTCATGGGATGGGTAAATTATTACTCAATAAATACTTTTAATTTATTTCGTTCCTAAAGTATGCAAATGTTAAATTGGTTGGTGTGTCATGCTTTTCTTTTGTTTGCTACTTATTCCTTAAAAAGGAATATTTTTTAGTTTTAACTTGTGAGCCTGGTGCCTTGTCCGCTTTTGACTTAGAACCGTGTGGGATAGGGTGAAGCATCAAATTCTTATGGGAACATTGATGAAAGAAATAGAATCAGAAAAATAAAAAATAAATTTGAAATTGGGACTTAGCCGGTCTGCACAACTTCTCATAGCGCAACCCTTGAAATATCTAAGCACAGATTGAAACAGAAATGCCTTCCACGGTTATAGACTGTACCGCTGACACAGCAATTAAGGGACCACCATACTTCGATGCGCCCCTGCTCGTGTTTGGAAATTGCCTTATATTCCGTGATCAGGGGCTGATTGTATAAAATATTTCAGGAATTTGGTCATGTTTACATAACATGACAGTATTGTCCACAAAAACAGAACATGAGCTCCAAAAAATATTTTTAATAACCCGTTACAAGGCCTATCTATCAAGAGAATACGATTCAGTGATAGATAGAACCAAACACATGGTGCAACACGTTGTTTCCTGGTCTTTTCTCTTGAAAACAGCTCCTTCTCTGTGATAAAAACCGCATTTACAAATTTTTTCCATCGGTACGGCTTTAAAATTAGTGTCCATGATCAGAACCATGGCATTAGTGAAGAACAGCAATTTAGCGGTTAACTCGTGCATCATTTGATCTATACAAAGACACTCTGTGATTTCATCGATCCAAAGATACTTAGTTGTGATGTACATGCAGATCTCCTCAAAATAGTTCACAATTCGTACGAGTATTCGCAAATTTAACTGAGACTGCTGGAAATGATCATAGTTTTCCCGAACAAGATCAAGGGCTATCTCGCACATCTGTATAAGTAACATCCAATCTTTATCAAACTGGTCTTCTTGTTCAACAGGGTGTAGTATGCCGTACTTTGAAAGCAAAGGTTCTATGTCTCTTTTAAATAGCAGTAGGAAATCACAGAAACACTTTACGAACCAGTTATGCGTGTTTTTGAACCTGTCATTTCCCAGTTTTTCATTGATTGCCAGGAAAAAATCCAGTAAATACCTTGTTATCAATATTTCCATCTCGGCACTGCTATCCGTTTCGTATTCGATGAGTAGAGAGCCAAATTTATCGCACATGGTCATTACGCTTGCCTTTAAATTTGTATGAATCTTCCTTCGTATTTCAGCAACGGTACATGCTGGCCATTCATGTGTTGTTACGTAGTTCATGTCGCTAGCGCTCAGATATTCATCATCTACACCCTCTACATACGCATCAAATTCTTGAAAATCCGTTAGGTCCAGATCACCATGCAATTGTTGCAGGTGTGATAAAAGTTCATCCACAAAACCTTCATCAGAAATTGGTGTTTGAGCTGAACTACTATCCATGTCCACATGTGTCTGCCGAAATATGAGAAATGTGAAAGCTGTTAGGTGTAAAATACGCATGGAGTGGTGTTTCGTTCACGAATTAAATATAATTTTTACAGGGAGATGTGACTAAAAGCGTAAATTGCAGATAAAATCAGAATGGATTATTCCCTATGATGCACATTTCCGTTAAAATTAGAATTTAATAACGTACAAAGAGAGATAAAATGTGAAATAATGAACGCATTGGATTGGGTATACTGCAAAATATTGAAAATTATGAAAATATAGAAATGAAGTGTGAGATTACGTTAACCTTCAAATAAAGCTTTTTGAGTAAAATGTTTATAAGCGTAAAAACATGGCATAGGGAATTTTTTCCTGATACAGAAAAAGCTAAAATTTTTTAAAATAATTTACTTTGCAACAACCAGACAAATTGTGGCAAATGAAAAGATACGAATCGTGAATGCGATGAATTCAGAGAATAAAAACATTTAACATCAAAAAGGCTGAAACAGTACATCACTTACGGATTTGGAGTTTCACACTCTAGAGGATGTGATGGTCCAAGAACATGACCTGATCGCATTTTGGCCGTAATACCCAAAAAACTATAAAGCATACCGCAAACCGCCGCCATAAGATAGCAGTAACGCACCATTGATCAGCGTTTAGCCGTACCTTGTACAGGTACCATAACAATGTACCTTGCAAAAAACAAAAACACTTCGGAATAACAAAAAAGTTGGTCTGCAACATCTGACAGTTCCATATTATCACACAAAACCTTTTAATACCACAACAAGTGTAAAAAAACGATTTAGAAAGTGTTTGGTAGATTTAAGATGAGTGAATGGTGTTTTCACATAAAAATTGAAACATTTTTGCCTGTCATTCCATTAAAACAAAAAATACGAAAATGTCACCAAATTTATTTCAACTGAGATGCACACAGCCGTTTAGCGCAAACAATGTAAGTAAAAGCATGGTTTTGAACCAACAATTTTTTTATAGCCTTTATCAAAAAGGTAAAGCGGGGAAAATGATCTGAAAATACTAAATTACCTCAAAAAAAATTTATAGAACCAGTGATCAAATTTAACTCCGTTTATAGAACAAATAACGTAATCAGTATTGCAATGCTTAATCCAAGTAACACATAGTTTCATCTCAAGCATCGCGTTATACTACATAGTTAAACGCAATACTTTCCATTGTATGATAAAATTGTTTCTTGTTTGGTGGCTGCATGCGTTATGAATGACGTTATCGGACATGATTGGTGATGAAGAGCCGTAATATGCACAAAGTTTGAGTGTCTCAACGAGGAAAAGTAACTACAACAGTGAATAAATTTTTGACTTTTACCGTGATTTTTGATGCGCACTCAAAATAAGAAAGTTCGAGCAAAAAATGGTTTTATCACCAGAAAGTCGAGGTGCGACAGTATAGTCTAGCAGCGTATCCTCACAGGCGAACAGAAAGTCGTTACTGTCTACATGCATATGAAAGCTTTGCAAGTGCTTCATATCAAGCATGGTACGTGTGTTTAGAAACCAAGAATTGCAATAATTTCTTAGAATTTACCTGTCTTGCATTTGTTTGGATTATTAAGATAGTCCTCATTTGCTTTTTCTCCTGTCACTTTTTGAGCCTTAAGTTTATTTACGAAATGATTTGCGAGCAATCATACCTTCATGAACAATCGCATATTTTAGTGCTCATGTCACACACCTGGTAATTAATAAGTGTGTTGGAGCAGGCTGTGCCCTCATTTCTTCGTATAAAATGAGGAGTTACCGCGCTTCTCTTTGCAAACGAGAGCAAAAATTTTGCCATCAAATACGACGCGTTACGCAATGATTAATTTGCTATGTTTCATTTTAATCATGAAAATCATAATCATCGTGTGAACAACACCTGATAAAGAACTGCAATTTTATTGCATGCCATCTCTGACATGGATTGGCGTGATAAATTTTAATACCTTTTCAAAATGATGTAGAATCGGTTGTAAACGAACACATACCAACATAAAAAGCACATTGGTATAGGCCTGTTCACGCTGAAAAGAGGAACAGAAGAGTTCGCATGGTTACGTAGCGCATTGGTAAAGAACTTTTCAGTTGGTACGGTATTCTTGCAAAACCTGGCATACCGGTAGACACGTTGTAGTTGATTCTAAATATGGATCAAGGGTTTCAAAACAAATTGGTACGAGCGCTCGAAGAGCACTGATGCATTGTATGTGGGCAACAAATTTATGATATACAGCCTGTTTGGCTTCTCTCAAATAAAAGCTAAGAAATTAAATATTTACTGATTGTAAAGCGATATATTAAGTTGAACCCATTAGGATACATCAACACAAGATTATATTGCAATAAACGTTGTGTTGTGAAAGGCTTCACAAAGGTTTCCTGTAAAATGTTCATTATAGTCAGGCAAGGGAAGAAAAATATTCCTTTTATGATTGCATCACGGTTATAATGTTTAATTTAGTATTTATTGCTAAGAAATATCATATTTTCTACGGTAACACATCATTATTTAACAGTCAACTTTTTGGGTGCTAAACGGCAAACTACCGTTTATAATCAGCACACAGCATCTGTATGAGGCGACTATCTCTTTCTACCAATCACAATTTCCTACTTTTAGCTTTGCGTATAGCACGTTTTCACGTGATTGAATACACATAGCTTTGCCGTGGTAATGGTCAAGGGACAGGTTGCTCATATATCACTGGAATATGCTGCCCAATGTACTTCAAATATTGATGTGATGGCTTGCAGGTAATAAAAGTCAACATATCCTTTATCATTTCAAAAGTATAAAAGGAAATGCTTCTGTGTTGATATGCTTGTTTTGCTCGTTCTTTTTATGTGTTACGGGTCAGTATCTAGTCTTGGAGGTTGTTGCGGGGATGCATCGCCATTTGGTAGTGGTGAACTTGAAAACGTGTTTTCTGACGACAAATGTTCCTGTAAAGGCTCAAATTCTTTTCAAAAATGTGATGAATTGATGAATAAGCCCGATTTGATAGACATGAAAGGGAAACAGAACGAGGGTGTGCTGTTCGACTCAATTTATTCCTTCAATCGCGCCATATCGTTCGACTACAGTTGTGGCCGTCCATCAGGTAACACGGGGCTCGATGTACGCTGGCTCGAAGATGTCCAGAAAAACATCAAAAAAAATATAATAGATCGTAGAGTCATGCTGTACATCCTGAAGAGAATGCGCTATTACATACAGAAGAAGGGAAATGTAAAGGATATATTCGCGATTCCATGCGATCAAAGAAATGCACTGTACGATGACTCGCTGTTTGAATGTTTTAATAGGAATCTAACAGAAAATCCTGATCTTAAACAAGCTGCTCTTGAGTTTTTGAAGAGGATGAGAAAGGAAATCATTAATTTGCTGCTTTCAGGCACGCGCAAAGATGAGAATAACGGACATTGCAGACCGGAATGTGCAGCTCGCGTGAATGATGCCGCTGATACGCTGCTGGCCGGAAAGATTCTCTCATGTTTTACCGATGAATGTGGCAACAAGAAAAAATGGACAGTTTCACAGTACGCTCTTTTTGTTCTGCTTGAAACTGTGAATTATTTGATTGGCTACATAAATAATTGCATAGACATCGATAAGAAGCTTATATGCCGACAGGCCACGATCTTGGTGATTAATGTTACCGATAGTTCGTGTCAAGAAGACGTGATTTCTAACGAAATTGTGCTAATTGACAAGAAATCGTTTTGTTCTGATAATTCTTCGAATGGCCATAAGCAAGCTAGAGGTGTATATGCCGGTAATACTCGAACACTTCGGAGTGCACAGAGAGGAGATAATGAGCTCACCAGGCACAATGGTGATGATACTGTTGGAGATGATCATGTTGCTTCCAGAAATGAAACTGGCGTGAGCAGATGTGGCGGCATGATGAGCATCAGAAACGATAAAAATGGTCATGCATCTGATGGAGGAGGTTCACTGGGTGGTGACAAAGGTTGTATCGTAAATATAAATGTTGGAGACGACCATGAATCGGATGAACATGGTAGGGATGACTACGAACCGCAAACTGGTCCTGAAGTAAACTATGGATGTGACCGTGGTTTGAACTCTGGTATTAATCACCACGATGGTAGATCAAATGGAGGACATAACCACGAACACAATGAAAATACCAAAGATGATGGCAAGCTGAGCACTTGTCCTGGTATAAACTTCGATCCTGGCAAAAGAATCAGAAATAATGGTGAACAAGAGGGCAAGAGTACGAATTATGGCGATAATGAGTATAGCAGTGATGTAAATAGTGCAAAAGATGAATCAAGCCATGAAGTATCTGATGAGAATAATTCCCGTAAAAGTTCGATCCATTTGCGCACGGAGGATCAACATGACAGCCAGGAAACATCGAGTGATCAATAGTAGTGCCCTTGAGATGGCACAGAAACTGGTGGACAATACAGTGGTGAAATGGAAAGACATAAACTAAGAAGTCCACGGTTTCTTCTGTAAAGTTAGTAGTTTGGTCCTGTGAATAAAAGCAAAGGCTTTTCAGTTACAATTTTGGCCATTGCCTCTCTATAACACGCTTTATTTTTTACTTGGCACTATGATCTAAATAATTCCCAAGAACCAATATTTGCACTTGATAAAAATGTCCATAGAGATAAATCGTTCAAGCTCCCGATTCAAAATTAAACGCCAGTGCTGACATAAAGTTCAATACCACTCACAAAACCGCAATGCATTTTTTTCCTAATTTTTGTGCGAACCAACGCTCCCAAACGACAATCACATCGTGGTAGTGTTATGGTACACAGTGATTAAAAGGTAACACAGTAGCGTGAAAAAATACAGGCGGTGTGATTATTTCGAGTCGTACATGTAAGAAATGTAAAACCGTGCTTGCATGTTGATGACTGGGTGTTGCAAGCCAACGAAATAAATCTTTGAATGCCGTTGTTGTAACGACAGCAAACAGTACAAAACATTTTTCATTAAAAGTGCGTTTATTTACCTTATCATACCACAGCAACCAAAACACCACATTTTTCTGGCAGCACGAAATCTGTTCCATAAATTTGCACTAAAAACGAGTGAGAATGGTGCGATCAAGTCCGTGCCGATTATCAACAAAATATGGCAAAATACGTGGATGAGCAGGCAGCAGAATCCGTGTAAAAGCAACTAAACCGACTTTGTGGACACGGTGCTGTAAATTGCGATGCACGCATGGCATACGATCGGTTTTTTCTGGTGTTGTACTTCATCTGCCAACCCACCCAATCAATCCTAAATCAACATTTCCTAGCAAATTCCCATAAGCTACGCTAGCCGGGACTTGATCGGCCTTGGCACATTTCTTGACATACACAGATAAAAACTGTATGAGGAGAAAGCATGGCAATACAGGTAAAACCATTCGTGTAGTGCCGTCACCACAAAAACACGCACATTTTATACAATCACTGTTTTATTTATTATCGTATGCATGTTCTATCGTGCTAAAATTTCATGATCCTGTCGTAGAAATCGTTCTTTCTATCCACAATGGGCTGTATGCCCACCAACACCGATGTACAGAAAACCTTCTTATTGCAACTAAAAACCTTTGTAGGAACGGAGCACACTGTCCCGTAGATCTTTTCTGCTCCCTTATCGTTAATTTTTCTCACAAATCCTTCCGTTATACAATAAATACTGTCGTAGTAGTAGAGGTACTCGATCTCTCCATCGCTTATCCGGATCCGTTTGTATGAGAGGTCCTCGTTTACGAAGTATACGAAGCCGTTTTCGTCGCCCAGCAGAATTCTCGTGCTACTTTTCGTCCTTTGTACCGCCATAGCCGTAAGCTTGGAATCGAACTGCTTTGTAACCAGGCTGTTTCCTTTATAATCGTACAGGGTGAACTCGCCGGAGTGTGAAACCGCCACAACCCCGGTGTCATTGTGCGCAATAACAGGTATTTTGTCCTTGCCAGCTCTAAATGCTGTTAGAAACGCAAAACTCTCATCGAACAGCCAAATTTTACCGCTCTCATCTCCAATCGCAAGCACTTCGTTATAATAGATCGCGGTCGAGTACTCACCGATCTGCTTGTCGATAACTTGGCGCTCGTTCGTTTTCAAGTTGTACACATGCACATACCGGTCCACCACCATAACCAGTTTATCATCCTTCAAAGCGGCCACATCGGCAGATCCGTCTATTTCTAAAATTTTTTTGTGGGTGACCAGGTCATAAATATTCCCATTGTCCGCCAACATTAGCATTTTCTTATCATGAACAATTATGTCTCTGAAATGATGCAAGTAGGGATTTACCAGGTTATACATGAAGATTATTTATGGGTGGAATGCGGATTAATTCCTTTAAATAGAAAATATTTAAATTTTATCAAAAATATGAGCAGCACAAAAGGTAAACAAACAATAAATTAAAACAAATAATATGCATGTGCTGCCACGAGCACCGTTCATTTCAAGCTACGGTATCGTGCACATCAGAATGGTTTGTTTTCTATCACGATAGAACCATCCCGAATGCCATCAACATCTACTCGACAGCTTCGCTCTTCTTAACATGCAAACAGTTACAATCCAGCACAATGCATAAAACATGTCGTTCTTGTAGACCACAACCGCTTCTTAGCGCCATATTAGCTCATTCTTTCCATCCAAGAATGCTTTTATTAAATTAATTATCCAATTCCGTAATGTTTGAATTTTCCCGCTATTGAATATTGCATTTTGTTTATTTTGATTTATTACGCTCTATATATCAGCCTGGTACGTTCTATTCTCACTGCACCGTCTTCGTGTTTCATCTTTTCTGATTCCATTTTTTTGACGTTTTGATACCATTCCAAGAGAAAGAAATATTTCTGTGTGGTTACAGAATAAAATGTGTTTAAAGTACGAAAACATAGCAAAAAATTGAAAATCTCTACAAAACAAGCGTAATAATGCGTGCAACTCTTAACTGAAGTAATTTGATATAAAACACGGGTATTTATTTCTTCTCAGCAGCGTTCATCGATGCAAATCGCAGTTTTCTACCTATGAGCAGGATCAGTCGTAATGTTTGCACGAACTACCGGAACATGCAATAATTATTTTGTGTGTGGATATTGTACGAAAGCGTCAGAGGCATCGTATTATTCTTTATCAACCGGTCACAAAGCAAATATGGTGCCAATATGTTCTAACATAAAAATAGGAGCACAATAATTTATAATTGACACTCAGAGATATGCCCCTAACAACAGTGACTTAGTCTCGATTAAGCATAGCAATGGCCTGTAGAGCGTCGGCTCGTTGACAGAATGTCAATTGAACCATTAAATGACGTTTCACGATGCATTTAACAAAGTATTTTGAGTACGAACAACGAAGATGAAATAAGTGACACATAAGATATCAGGTAGAAGGAACTGTTACGCAAAATAGGGATGGCATCAGTTAATCACGTGGTAGCTCTCACGGTACGAAGGCCTTTGTACCACATTCGACTGAATGTTAAAGGTACAGACGAGCAAAATTTGCTTGAGTTGAAAGTTAAAAGCAAGCTGCGCTAAGGTGTTTCACATGAATGGCAAGAGAACAAATATGTGGCATATCTCATCTTCTTAGCATGAAATTTAGAAGTACACGGATATCAGAAGGCGTGTGTTATCAGCCGCATTTTCGTTTCCTTCTTAATACGCTGTTCTGATATGTACCAGATTATCTGTAAGTAACGATCCAAGTCTCACGTATTTTCAACGTATGGCATGTACGTACATCTCATCATTGTGTATTTTCATTAATACGCCATTTCTACCGATTATTCGTTACATATCACAGGCACCATGCAAGAAATAACCCGTAAAAAGAGCAGCGTAACAGTATTTAAACTATTTTCTCCTTATTTTAACACTATACACGTCTACCTGAACAACAAGCACGAAAAAGGTGGTTCATTCATACTGCAAGAATAATCGTACAGCGGACAAAGCAAAGGAACAAAAGTTTCTATAAATTTGATCAATGGAAATAAAAGTACTATCCAACATGAGGAGGAGTCCTAGCATTTGAGCGTAAAAATTGTTCGTTACGTAGTATGATTTTAATTCCATTTTGCTAAGAGCGGTTTAGTTATCTCCTCCCGCATCAATAATACCCAAACACATTTTTTGGTTCGCTAAGATCAACCATGGCCGCTTGCTTTTAGTTCATAGCATTCAAAGTTTATTGTTTGTGGCACAGCAAGACCGCTGTATGAAACTGTTCAGTGTAAGTTTTATCAAAAAACAAACTGCGCTATTTTCGTTTACAAAACAAAAAATGGTTGCTTGTCCAATGAGTGCACTCTTCGTAAGTATTTTTTGAAAGGTCGTTTGATTACGACAATTCTTAAGAATTTGTTTTGTATTTTCTTTGTAACCTTCTTCCGCTGTGCGTAACGCGATAAGAAATCGAAAACTAATCCTTCTCCACAAGTCGTACTTTTGCACTGAATAAAGCAATATTGAAAATATTTTTGTACAACATATGTCTCCTACAAAATCTCAAAATTTAATGAACGTAATTTTTAGCTAAAAGTATTCACTCCGATGTGTGCTGAGCACGTGGTTCATACAAAAAATGGGAGTAAATATGCGTAGGCTCAATTCGCGTAGGGTCTGTGTTTTGATCAATGATGTATAGCGAGAACAAAAAAGGGCACCCAGAGAAAAAACATGGCAAGAAAATCAAAAAGTACCAAAAAAGACAAGCTCCCGAAAAAAGCAAAAATAGACGAATCAGCCGTTCAGAAAGATACCAACACCACAGAAAACAGCAAAGAGATAGAGGAGCACACGTCTACACATCCGGTAAACGCGAGCGAATGCTCCACTAACATACAGGGAGATGCAGCACAGGCAGCGGACGGCAACAAAAGCTGTGACATACACACCAATACATCCACATCAACGCTCGACAAGAGAAAACGTTTCAGATTTCCGACCGCACGCATAAAAAGGATAATGCAGAGCGATGAGGACGTGGGCAAGATTAGTACGTATGCGCCGGTTGTTTTGGGAAAGGCAACAGAACTATTTCTTGTTGAATTGGTGAGTGCAGCGATGAAACACGCTGAGAAGAATAAGAGAAAGATGGAGGTTGAAGATGTGATACGTGTGGTTAAAGAAAATGAGCAGTTTGCGTTTTTAAAGAGCTATGAAAATGAGGAATAGGTTAAATAAACTGTGCGCTCTGTGTTGTGTATGGTGAGTTTTGCATTTTATGCTTGAATCTGAATCTTCAGCATTTTTGTCATGTACAGGCGCTTTATTTTTAAAATGTTCAAGCGTGTTTTTTGCGTTAAGAGAAAGGTTGTTCCGTGCAAGCATACATGTCCTCTAAATATCATGTATTTTTGTACTTGACACTATCCAGTTTTGTTTTTAGTTCACGTAATTACTTGTGTTATGTTCACTGCTGTAGCAAGACTATATAAAGCGTAGAGTATCAACTTGTTATCAGCCTATCTTTTCAAGAGTAACGTTTTTATCTGCAGCGGGACTTTCATCCTTTACCTAAATATAAAACACTCATTGATTCCTGAAGCTCGGCCAACAAAATAATCACAAAATCGTGCCTTTTTTCCTATACACGCTGCAGCCCAAGGTTATAACCGATCATTTACTGCTCATCAATTCGCTTGTAGTATTTTTTCCGTTTTCTGATCTTTACAATGTGTTCTCGTCCATCACGACTAATACAGGGATACTTTTTTTGCATTCTTTGGCAGATATTGAACAGATAGCTTGCTCTAGTATCCGAGATATCTCTACACGAATAATTCTGTTCCTGTTGCGCCCAGCCGCTGCAAATGACCCTCAAAGAATGATTGTCATTATTTTTAGTGGTCAGTGTAATTACTCTCTCGCTCTTATACGTGTTCAGATCAATCATTCTATTTTGGTCGAATTGTCTCCATCCGATTGCTGTTAACCAGCCGGCAGCATAGCGTCAGCCTCGCAGCATTATCAACTACCGCAATTTTTCACCTGGAACCACATGAGTACTACCATCACATCGAGCAACAATATTCAAACATTTTTGTGATACACTAGGATCGATAGTGGCCGCAGACCCTTGATCCACAAGAGAAATCCGTGCACTATTTCGTATAACGTTTCCGCGAATATCCTCATCATGATAAACAGGTGTGCTATAACCGCAGCAGTAATCCTAACATGAAAACCATGACTTGTGCAACACCTCCTCTCAAGAGCACTCCGAGGAACTTTTCTTCTCGGATCACAAATAAATGTAATTCTTGGTAATTTAACACCCAGCAAAGAAGCGTGCTCAATACTCAACCTATTATTATTATTCTCAGAAGAGATGCCATATTGTTTCTCTCTCATACCTTTCGTAGAACGACCATTTTCTCCTGTCAATATCTATCAGACAATGGACAAACATGAATGTGCCAACACGTATTTATTAATGTAGAACATCAGTTGCCCGATTAACAGCAACAATTTTCTAAAACAATGGAGGTGAATTGATAAAATTAGTAAATCTAAAACTGCTTGTCACACTTCTACCGATGCATGACAGCTAGACTATCTCACAACACAAATCGCTTTTTTGAATGACATGTCATTCGTAGTATGTTCGAATAGATCACAACATTATACCAACTCTTACTTTTGGTAAATACTTCATTACTGTTAACATGACCGTGCAATGATCTCAACGCAAGCGGTTTTAAATCGCTTTACTCTTAACAAAGATCTTAATTGTTCATATCAACAAATTTTCTGCAGCAATGGTGTTGATCATATTCAGGAGACACAATCCATTGTGTTTAGATTGATAGCATCATTCATGCTGTTACATGTCATTAACATGTTATAGATTGCTTGAATACTATGAACAATAAGACCTGAGATCATTACAATCATAAAAAATAAACAATCAGCACCAGAATATCGAAAAACAACTTAACTTTTACTTATAAAGCTCGAAAATGGTTCGCTCTTCATTGCACTTATCTGACCACTCGCATCGCTCCTTGAGAGATCTACACTTCTCAGAAAAAAGCTTATGAAGAATATGCGCCTCTTCTTCAGATATGTCAGAACTCTTATAACAGAACACAAGTACATCAAGTTGTTCGAAAGTCTCAAAAATATTTTCGATCAAGTTATTTAGCAGTTCTGGCGAACTTTCAGACGACACCTGATTGTCTTTTGAAAGTATTGCTATTACATCTATCACCAGTTTCTTAATGTCAGCGAAAGCTTCGAAGTCTTGACACAACATAAGTTCGATTAGTTCTTCATAAGTTGAATCTACGCTAACATGAAGAGTGTGAAGTTTAAGATGCACCACATTCTTACTCTCCATCAAATTCTGTTCATTTGCGTCAACTTTTGCAGGTTGTCATTTATCATAACTTTGATTGGCGAGGCTATCAAATGTTGGCCGAATGGATCTACCATCTATGCGAAATTCTTTTAGCGTTTTTAAAGGTTCTATTAACCTTACCAGTTCATAAATGGCCAGCTCAGAACTAACGAAAAGTTTTTCTATTGGACCTTTCAAATTGCTTAGTTGTCTACATAAAGATTCACACTTGACATCCTCATCATCATACATACAAATTTCAAGATGTTTCAACATTTCCAGCTCAGTTATCATTTGCATGAACACTTCATCTAAGTACAGGCACCAGATTTTTAGTGTTTCCAACTTTCGCATTTGTATTTCACTGGTTGACCCACTACTTAGCTTATTATATATACCGCCAGCATTAATTTCTAAAACTTTAAGGGCGGCAAAGTCTAGGTTAAATAAATTAGAAGCATCACAAGTTTCCAGAAGACATCCATCCAAAATACAAATTAATACTAGATGCTTAAGTTCGTTTCGGTTAATTTCCTTTAGAAAATTGACAGCGAGCTCTACATCTTCTGTGTCAATTGATAAATACTCTAATTTAGTACCATAACACCGAAAAGACGGGAGCAGCCGATCGCAGTTCATCTTATCTAATGTTAAATACCGTAGACCACCTACTATTTGGTCACTAGGCATAACACTCACATAGTCACTCATGTTTACCGCCAGATTGCGTAGTTTTACGCACTTATTTATATTGACTTTGATTACTATCATTTGTTTATGTGCCAGAGGCGATATAAGAGTATAAAACCTCCCGCACCTATTGAAACAGATATTCTCATATGATTCTCCAAAAGTCACCTCAATTTGTTTACATTGTTGCACAGTTTGCACAGTATCCTTGGAAATGAGAAAAGTACATCCAATAAACATCAGACTTTGCAGTTTCATGTTACTCACTTTCTCTAAGAATTCATCCATAACTAACATATGCTTCACCTTAAGTATACGTAATTTTGGAAATTTATCAAGATCAATGAAATCTTGCACTGTTTTACAAGATTCATAGATCCAAATTACATATTCATGCGTCAAGTCTAGAATATATAAATCGGTAATGAAATCAAATTGCTGCATTATATCACCAAGATCGCCATCATATAAATTTTGTAGGTAACTGCGAACAACAACTGTCAAATTCACACATTTGAATTGTTTTAAAATATGTTTTGCTTTTTCAATGCTTGATTTGTCAATCAAAATCTTCAATCCCTCCCTTGGCTCTACAGTATCTTCCTGTTGGGCAGAAAAGTATGAGCTGAACTTCTCTGCCTCGTAGACAAGTTGTATTGTCTTTGAAAGCTCACGATAGAAGGTTTGCAGGCCCTTGTATTTCTCCATTGTTGCTCTCTCCAAAAGTGTCTCACAATCTGACAAGAGAAGACGTTCCACAATGTGGGCACACCTGAGATCTAAGTGTTCTTCAGGTTCATCCAGTAAGTGCACAAGATCATCCCTAAGTTGTTCCTCTGCGTACACATATTCTGAGCCATCATCACCCTCTCCACCATCTATGTTGGCACATAACAATTGATGAATGAACAACAAGTTACTGAAAAAAATCATGTGATTCACAGAATTCATTCCTTTTATAGTTTTAAATTTGCAAAAATGATAAGGAAATTTATTCTTATCGGCACGTGCTTTTTTGACATCTCAAATATGAACTGTCATGTGATTAGACGAGAATGCCAGCATTAAATTATGAATTTTTTGACACTAATAATAATGATGCACACATTTTCTGTAAGTTCAGTGTGTTCTTTTCTTGTTTATGGCATCGATCACACAAAATAGGTCTGCTTTTCTCATCAATATGTTACAGAAAATAGTAAACTAGTTGTTTGTGTGAACGAAGTATTCATGGTCAATACACTGTCGTTAATTATGTGCACTTCGGTATGATGTGAAAATATGATAATTGAAGAATAAAAGTATCGTTGAGTGATGAGTACGTTGCTGTTAAACACATGTTTTGCTTTTGATCAGAAAGCTCATATTGTGACTGTGTTGATCTACCTCACGAAAAGCTGAAAGCTACATTACAATATGCAATTATCAATGCATTATCATATTTATGTTAAGTACAATGCATGTACACCAGTTATATTATGTATGCTAGTATCACTGCATTTCTTTTCCTGTTATCATTTCTACTCCAAATGAATTTCTTATCATCAAATCAATTTGAACAAATATTGAACATAAATGTCATCAATGTTGATCAACTATTGTTAACATGAAATGTCACCTGCATTTATTTTTCTAACGTCGTAACTACTTAAAACACTATTTGAAAGTATTTTTTACCACTTGCTGAACAAACCGGTTGTGATAATCAGTACTCGTCTTCTCTATGTTATTTTTGTACAATATTATAGCTACAAAAATGTGCTAGTATTCTCAATATAAATCATGACATGATATTTTGTTGCCATTTCACAGTCGATATCACATGTTGTAGAGCCGTGTCACAATTGTTACTAAACTGGT